CTTAGAATTTTGGCTCTTTTGGTTATCTAAAGCCCAAGTCAAAATTCCAAGAATTGTTCTGTATGTTATTTCATTTCCTCAGGGCTAGAGATATTTCTGGAAGCAAGTTTTTTTTTTTAATATGTTGCCAGATAGAAGCTAATACAAACTCATTGCTTCATTAGAGAAACATGCTTGTGGATGAGCTGCACAAATTCCTGAGCTGCAGTGATATTGTCCTGAATATGAGCCTGAAAAGAATATTTCCTGCTTAAACTGTTATTAGTAGGCTTCTTCACTACACTGCTACAGTCATGGATGGCAGTGCTATGCTCTGTGCCATTCACCGTGTCAATCACGCAGAGAGCATATATGCTCGTGGCATTTATGTTTGTCATAAATCACTTTGAATCATCATCATTACACTTCCTCTGCCCCTTCTTTGCTTAAGGCCCTTGGCTTTTTGTCAGCTCCAGTGATGTGAAAGGTTTCATACTTTTGACATGGGTTAATATTGAAAATACTGATCTATATATGTCACATATTTGTGTCACCTAGATGCCTGTACTGAAACTCAATGTGATTTAGTCTCCTAACTCAATTCCTTATGAAATGCTACCTTTGGTGATCTCCTGTATTTGATAAAAAATGCAGTTATAAACAATTTTGAGTTAGTTGATAACCTAGGTGAGCAAATGTTATGCTTTTAAGCAGCTGTAGAGAAATTAGCAGATGTGGTTTTATAGCCATATACATCTGATCATTGTCTCCCAGCATAAACACACACTGAAACCTCATTCTTGTCTAGTACAAACAAGGGCAAATAGAGGTGCATATAAGCTGGAAGACCATGAAAGCATGGTCATGGAGAATGTCCTACATTAAAGTTGTTTTGCAAATATTCCAGATCTATGTCCTTTCTAAGAATGATCTCTGCTATTTCCCATTCCCAAGATACAGAGATCTGTTTGATCTACATTTGGCTTTTATTTTCTCATTTTTCCAGATGTCTGTGTTGTTAAAAAAATATGCACAGTTCATGCTGCCATCTTCACTGTCATGCTTTATTAGGAAATTTAACTTCTTTACTGAAGCACTATGTAAAAGTGAGCTGACAAAAGTGTTTTTCTAGAGCTTCCAAACAGATCTCTGCAAGGAGTAACTGTGCAGATAATTAAAGAATGCTTTTTGTAGAAAGCGTTTTCCAAGTCATTCTGTATTTAAATACCTTAGGTCAGCTTTGTTTTTTAGGAGATTTGAATTGTTCTTCTCTTCCCTTCCAAAGAACAATTTAATCATGTGCTCAATCCTTTTAAAGTGACTAGGTGGAATTTTAAGTGTCAGAATACTGAAAAAGTAATTCAGCTATGGAGCTGGTATCATTCTGTTGGTTTGAGTTCAACCCTACATGAGAACATTAATTAGCTTCAGTTCATGAAGCAAGCTCTCAATGAATGGATTTCTTGATTGACATTGTCCTTTAAAGTGATTTTCATTCCTTGTTTTTAACAGTGTCCCAGTACTTTGTGGAATTGAACTTATCTAGTAAGTTATTAGCCCTTTCTCCTCAAATTAGACACAGAATTTTGAAAATTCTTAGAACTCTTACCTCAGACAAGCTTTGGATTTTTGTACAGTAGTTAACACCAGTTAGAAAAAAAAATAGGATAAAAGCAGCATAATAAAATGCCTTCTGTTTCTCCTTTCACAATTGCAAATGTTCATAAATGTTTTCTGATTACTTCTGCGGGAGGTGAAGTGTACTAAATCCTTCCTCCCCTAGCATTAGTTTAATAGAAAATATTAGTGAATGGAATGAGAAGGAATGGATTTACTCTTGTAAATAGTATTATTGCAGACGCAGCTTTAATGTACCTTTAAGCAGGGCAATAACCAAATACCATTATCTTGGATTACTATAGAGCCAATAATGCAGAGGTGATAAAGAGTCAGGATGAAGACTTCATATCTGGTTCTGCTAGAATTTATTTTAAGCTATTAATGGAGGATAGACATAAGAAATAAACAGATCCACCTTTGCAATCAGAAAATTCTCCAAGTACGAGCAAGGTTGCTGATATCAGAAAGCAAATAAATGCAGTGTAGCCTCAAATGGTCATAAAGGGGATAAGTGCATCCCAGGAAACTGAAGCAGAATGTTATTTATTTGCCTGGCTTTATTCTTTGTTACTGTATATTCTTCACATGAAATATTTAAAGAGGAGGTTTAAAATTTTCTTATCTATCCTACTTTAAAATTAAGTCTTAGCTTTCCTGGCTGCCCATTTCTCTGCTGTGCTGTATAGTATTGAGCTGAACCCTGTTACTGTTTGAGGTAACAAACGTTTTCCTGTGTTCTTTACTTAAAGTAGGATTGGACTAGAGTCCAGCATCAAAATCTGTGCTTGGATATTTGGATACTTTCTCTTAATTGAAAACCTCAAATCTTGTTTCTTTTCTGATACTGTTTTTTATATATTTTTTAAACCTCCTCCCATCTGATCACAGAGGGCCTACTTCTCATGTAAATTCTTTATATCTTACATTCAATTCTAAGAGTGAGTAAGCATGTATCATGCAAGTCGTGGGAATCAAAATATTTGCCTTTGAAGTCGTGGTGCTTAATAACAATGTTAATGATTGCCATTAGTAAGAAAATTATTCAATTCTGTTTCATGTTCATTCAGAAAGCTTACTCTCTGATATTTTTAAGGACCATGTCAAATACACTTAATACAGTTTATAACAGGAAGATCAAACAATAATCTTGGTCCTGAAAGGCTGCAATTTACTCATTGTTCTGCCATTCTTTTGAGACCTTGAGGCAAACTGCTTAGCATTTCCATGTCTCAGTTCCTCATCTAAAAACTGAAGTTCCGAATTTGTGAACTGACAAGGATATTGTGAAAAACTATACGTTTTGAACACCAAATGAATGACCGCACCTTTTTCCATTGAAGCTTAAATAGCAGCAGCCAGTAATTTTCACCTGGCTACTCAACTGCAGCAATAACTTCCACTGAACTGAGCCTGTCTGGTAACTGGGTAGTATGGATCTACCCAGGTTGCCCTCCATCTTGATTGGATGACAGCAAGTTTTACTAATTCCTGCAGCAGTGGCTGTCCAGTAAATACTTTTCTCTGTTAAAAGCAACTGCCTGTTTTCTGTATTGAATTGTTCGTTGTGCTTTAGTCTGCGAGATTAAAGAGCTTGCTGGTGCCTAGATTTTCTCCACATGAAGGTGCTTTTACATTATTATAGAGTCATCTCTTAATCTAAATTTTCATATGCTAAGCTGATGGAGCCCTTTAATTGCGGCGTTCTCTGAAGTCCTTGAGTATGTTTGTTTCTCTACCCTAATTTATTAAAATTCTAAGGTGTATGACAGAACAGTTTGTAGTATACCGCTATTAGCCTCATCCTTCCTGTTTATATAGGAACAAATATCTCTTTTTGGTGCAGCATTTTACTGAATGAATGAGACAAGATGTTTGCCTACTAAAGTCTCAATTTCAGTCACTAATTTACAAGGTTCAGCACTATATTTTAAGCTTAGCATGCTTTCCATATTCTGAGATGTACAGTTTCGCAGTTGGGTGTGTTTGGACACTTAGTTTCAGTGACTGTTCAGTGGCATAGGTCATGTGCTATACTTTAGTGGTGTTCATACAATTTTGGTGATATGGTGATATAAGAGTTAAGATTATACATACATTGTATCTTGGTTGAAATTGTTTGTCAAATTAAATAATATTTGCTGAGGAAGAGAACGGCTGGAAAGAGGACCAGAAGACAGACAGAGAGACATGAATGTAGCACAAGGTATTATGGGAAATACAAATATTAAAATTTAGATTGGTCTTACCTGGCTCCCCTGAAAAGGGGACAACCAATTTCATGCCTCTACTTAAAGATATGATCTATCTGGGGAGCAAAGCCAAGGAGATTCCTAGTTCCTTCATTAAGTCTGTGAGAAGAGTCCCTCTTATTTAGGTAGCATTTCTGGTGAAAGCATTTGGGGTCTCACTTCAGAAAAGCTTTCAACTTCTAGACCAAGCCTTGATCGTGTGCCAGGTCCCCTGTAACAAAGAATCCACCTTGTATGCCTTTAATTAAGCATAAGCACGTTGCTAGAGTTGTAACATTAATGTCTGGATATAAAAGCATCCTTCCCCACAGAGATGTCTTCCTACTTAACGCTCTTCAATATTGATGGTTATCTATACCACTAGTATTAGGACAGTCAGCGCATAGTAAAGCACTAGCTATTTTGCTATAAACAAATCTGGCCATCTGAAGGGAATTCTTTTTTTTTCTTCTTTTTTTTTCCTGTAAAGTTTAGCATTTCAATAATTATAATATATAATTCTGCACTGAGATTGACTATCTGAGCCAAATTTTACTGTCCTCTTTCTGGCAAAACTCCAGGTAATTTCATTGACTAGACTCCAAAGGTCTGGTTCTGCAGAATGCCAAGCAGCTACAGTTTCTTTTGGTTTCACTAAAAGCTCTTGCAAATCAGTACCTCTCAGCATCAGGCTATTTTTAAAATGTTTCAGGCTCCTTTATGAATGCACAGTGTTATAGAAGAATGACGTACGTGCTGTAATATGCCTTAGGTGGCCAGCATTTGTGATTGTGCTTAATGTTTTGTATTAGAGATACATATTTGTAATGACAACCACAGCTTCCATTAAATAATAAAATAGGTGATGTATATTCCTGTCAGATAAATTGTACTCAGGCATGTTTATGTTACCGAAAGTCCAGTTCACTCAAATCTTGCTATTCTCCACATGGTTTCTATTTAAAGTAACTTCTATGTTGACCAGTATACATTTGTTTGTTTCATCCTCAGACCTTTGATATTACATTCAAAGTTGTCCAGCTGTGCCTCTTAACTGTATTCCTCTTGCTTGCATGGTAAGGAATCGAAAAAAGAGTGATTTTATATGGCTAACTCGTCATTGATATGCTTTTTGCATAGCCCTCTGAATTTTCTTAGCAGCACACAAACTCAGAAAATTGCATGACTGTTTTATTAATATTACTGTGCAGATGATAGGCATTCCTCAATCTAAACATTTTTATCTAAATATAATGACATTATATAGTAATGTACAAATAATGAGTGTTCAGTTTTGCAGGTTGATCAAGTTCCTGTGACCAGTATAATTGATTATAATTGGTGCTATGAGACCACCAAAACTCAGGCCTTTTGCTGAAGTGCATCAATGAAATCTTATCCATGTGCCTTAAGGTGAATATGATTGTAAATTATCTTTCATATTCAGAATTACTGCACCAGAGAAACAGTCTACACAAAAATGAAGGCAGTCCAGTAGTTTAATGGAATAGAATAGAATAAAATAGATTGGCCTTCCAGACCCACCCTTCAACTTGATGTTAGTCTTCTATGCATGCTCATCAAAGGGAACCATATTTAATCCTCTAGGACAGTAAAAGTGTTGTTTGAAGTAAGTTTGAGGCACATGTGTAAGGATTGGCAGGCTCCGGGCTTTTATCCTCAGTGAATAAAAATGTCTTACCACGTTAGAAATCATTATTGTTTAGAAATAATAGTTGCAACTACTTGAAGCAGCTGGCCTTTGAAATATGCTAGTTTGAGTGCTTCATTATACTGTAAAACTTTTGTTTGTTTCTATGTATTCTGAAAGGTTATTAATATATATCTTTTAATGAGCCTTAGCTTTTTAGTCCTTTCTTGCTTTTGATAGGAGAAAAAGTGTGTTTCCATGTCAACTGACACATTTGTTCACTTATATTAAAACCGTTGTGTGAATGAAATTTATTTCACTGTATGAGATGATTTGTTGAAGGTCAAGAAGACTAATGTTAAACAGACTCATTTGGCTATGTTTTTAAAATGCAGATAATCAGTTCACCCTCATTTGAACATGTCCAAATGCAAGAACTGTGTAAGTAGGCATTCCTGGAAAATGTTTCTGTTCATGACTGCAGCTTAAATGCAATGGACACTCAATTTTATTCCATAGACAATGAAGTACAGAATTTCTCAGACAATTAAATGATCAGACATAAGGAGATGGAGTTACTGCTACAGAACAGATAACCTGACTTGTAGGAAAATGCCTAGCTAAGCACTCAGGAGATTCAGGCTATAGGCTATCCAGTCCCTGGTACAGCCCTCAACCTTGTAAGTGTTTCTGAAGATCAAGGCAGATTCATGCCTGGCATTGGGATGCTTGAGAAGTGTCAGGAGAGGAGACAGCAGACTGGGGACAGTTAATTTCTACTGCACACAGTCACGGACCTCCAGAGCCACCTCCTGCTATGCTGCTTAGATCACCACGAATTTGCATTCTTTGAATGCATGCTTTATTTATCCTTTTCGCATTCATAGGTCAAGCTGGGTTGAAGCAGTGTCACATTTTTCTTTTCCTTTTCATTGTTCCTGAGGAAATGCAATTGATTCCCCCCCCTCTTAGAAAAAAAGAAAAGAAAAACAACCAACACTAAAATTGTTGACCAAAAAAGACAACAAAGCCACCATGTCACTTAGTTTATTACTCCTCCAGAGTGGCTGAGCTACCTTTAAGGCAGTTCTTATAGAATTTCCTGCTAATCAGGAATATTCAAACATTTGAAATTTGCATTTTTGTTGCAGTTAACATTTCCTCTTAGCCCTTTTATTATATCCAAAAGCAGGAAAGAAGCACATCTTTGTAATGATATGATATATGTCCCATATGATGGACATAGTGTGGAAAGTGGTAGCTCCTGTTTTATCTTCCATTGTAAACTAAGGCACAAACTTGCTTAATTTCGACTACATGTATAACTTGGGGGAAGGAAGAAAGGAGGGAAGCCCAAAACATGTAAAATCATATATTTCAACTTAGACTTCCTAATAAATAAGCATAAATTATCATAAAACAACTCTTACTATTGTAATACCATTATTTCTACTGTGAGAGCCAAAGTAATTAATCTACGTATTTATGATCCTTGTCTATGATTAGTTTTCTGTCACAGGATGTGATAAACGTGTGCTGTTATGACTATGTTTTATTTACTAATATTGTCCTAAGAAGTGCTGAACACTTCCTGCTGAAGAAGCTGAACAGAGAAATCCATGAAGATATCTTTCATTTTCCATGACAGTGAATGATGTTTCCATATATAAACATAATAATAGAGTCATTACACATGCACTCACATTATCATCACTGCTGTGCGTTCAGTGTTATTCAAAACAAGGCAGGAAGCCAAATTTTCCTAGTTTCCATTTTGATTTAAATTGTATTTGTAATAAAGAGATTTTCACTCAATCTAAATGCAGTATCATCCTGGTTCAACAAATCTCCCCATTTCTTTTTTTTTATTATTATTATTTTTCTTTTATTCTAGGTCACTCAGTCCTGATACAAGTGAAATTTTCCTCTGGTGGTGATAACAGCAGTACTACTCAATGAACTATAACAAGGGCTCTAAATGCATCTCCTGTAGCATGCCACAGTGATTTGCAAAAGTGAGAATAAATCAAAGCAGTGAAGAGATGCCATGTTGAGCCAGAAGCTAAATGTTGCATCTTGTTGCATGAGGCTAGGGGTAGAACAGATCCTGTTTTTCTGGCAGCACAATATCTTTGTGCTTGTTACCTCCAATCCAACCCCATTAAAACAATCATTCAGAATCTGCAGGAAATTGTCACCTCTTTCTTTCATGCAATGGCAGCTGGTATTGGTGCCTACACACATTTCTCATTTCCTTCAAGATTTTCAACACACACAAAAAAAGAAACTTAATTTATATTAAAAAATGTGTCAGCTTACCCTGAGGCTCAGCACGGGCACCAGGGAAAAAAATGAAAGATAAATGCCTCTAGGTGAACTGGCAGAGGCTCTAATTCTCCACTCACTTTACTGCTACACAGTATGCATCGCATTAATCATTTCACATAGGCAGGCATTTAAGAAAACTTCAGCAATTTAAAATAAAGATGCCTTACCCTAAACTTAATAATAATAAGACTGTATCAAGCTCAGTTCACACATACTGTATATCCTAATAGAAGAGATGTAGAATAATATTGTAATTCTCTGTGACACAATTTTTATTGTTGTTTCTTTTGCCTATACAGCCATGTCCCCTCTTGTGGGCATTTCCCGTGTGTGTATGTGTACATATATAATATTGTCATTTGTCTTATTCAACTGCTGACATGCACAGGATGTTTTCTACCTTCCACTTTTCTTGTGTGGCTGGAGAAATGCATTACATGATCCTAGTGAACTCCATTATGCCTCATTCCAACTTGAGTATAGATTTCTCTAACTTCTGTGCTGGGGGAGTGAGGTAAGGAAATACATTTCTTGTTTTTCTAGCTTACGTAAGTCATGAATTTTTTAATATTGTCTCCTCCCTAGTTCTAAAATAATTTGGTGCTCTACATGCTTAACTGTGCTGAATTGTAGAGCCATAGAATTACCAAGGTTGAAAAAAACTTCCAAGATCATCCAGAACAACTGTTTACCTGTCACATATACTTCCCCACTAAACCACGTCCCTTAGTACCACATCTACACATTTCTTGGACACCTCCAGGGATCGTGTCTCCACCATCTCCCTAGGCAGCCTGTGAGGAGAGTTTTGAAATGGGAACAGCAGGTGAGAGCAGCTGACCAATAGCCAAGTGAGGAATCGCAGGCAACAAGCAAAGTGTGTGAGACAGTGTTAACAGGTACAAAACATGGCAGAAGCAAACCTATCCCAAATGTATGCATGTGAACAAGTAACTTCTGACAGGATAGCATGACAAAAGAAGTTCTCATCCCTTTCTGTAAAACCCATGTGGCAAGATACCCCTCTGAAGTGCTGCCTACTAGCTCTCATGGTATAGGAAGGACACGGGAAGAATTAGGGGCTTCCGTGTTGTTGAATGGCTATGATCTCCCCGGGAGCATAGTATGATAGTACATATGACTGTATAGCTGCAATGGATGACTGCAGGCTTTTTGGGAAAGACAGGCTGCTGTGGTGAGGTGGGCAGTTGCCCTTTATGAGTGAGAATGGCAGGAATACATGTAGCCCTGCATAGGGGTAGATGGGTGGATGAGAAGCCAGCTGTGAGCTGATCAAGATTAGTAGGTAAAAGTGTTTAAAGGTCAATTAAGACAGGCACTCTGCAGGACTTCACACTAATGAACCAGGAATGACACACACACAAAAAAGAAAACACCACAAAAACAAAGTGCACAAGAAGTGAAAGAAAGGACACATGACCCAGGACCGCATGACCTCCAGAGATCCCTTTCCATGCCAGCCAATCTGTGATACCCGTGATTCTATAACTTTCTGTAGTCCATTCTTCAGTGCTCATGAAGCAGCGTAGCATTTAAAGGACGCACGAAACTTTTTCCCACAGTTCCAGTTACCTCTCTCAGGACATGCATTTGCTGAGTGCCAGAATTTCTACAGTCTCCTTAACCTTCAGAAAATATTAGCTTATGGTATGCTCTGCCAGTACCTCTGCAGAAACAGCATGCTTAAATGTTGCCTGCTTTGGTAGGTCAAAAGGAATTCATTGAAAAGTGTATATTTAAACAGTATTGCTATGACACAAAAGGTGATGTGGATGTGTGCGCAGTTGGAGGCTAGAAGTGCAAGATCAGAACACCAGGAAGGAAAATGCTTTGAATGGCTGGGCATGATTTAAACAGCAGGAATGATAGTATTGCCTGCAGTAGTAGTTTGATCACACATAACAGTGAGGTGCAGTTCTTCATTTCCTTTTCTCTCTTGCCTTTTTCTTCAAAGTTTAGTGATTTGTATGTGTCTTCAAACAGATGTGGCTGGATTCACTGCATCACTGACTGAGCAATTAGAAATTGGTCCTTCAGTTCTTTGAAGGAAATGCTAAGGATTGGATTCAATTCTTTAGTTGGCATAGGATGGTATTTTTCCACTAATTCAGTGTTGCTGCTTCAGTTTACAGCTTGAATGCCACAGAATGGATAGAGTACAGGAGAATGTGAAGAAAAAAGTATAACTTGGTAATATCTATTAGAGAGTTGAGAAGTACAGTCTAGAAACTTTCTTCGTTGTAGTGAAATTGAACTCCTCTTGGATCAACTGTTGAATATGAGTTGCACATCTTTTGAAGTGTCTTAGAGAGATTCTTGGGTCCGCAGAAGAATACTCCAATGCTATTGCTGTAATCACAGTAACAACAACAAAAAAAAACATAAAAGCAGTAAAATGGATAAATTGCAACTTTTGACAGCCTCGAGCTTTGTATCAGTTGAAATAATGCTTTTGAATTGTTTTTTTTAGAAATACACTTGAAAAAAAATTGTATTAATATCACAAAGTACTATAGTATAATTATTGTAACACTGCAGTGTTTATTATGTCATATTGATTTATTTGGATAGTTGCATTGGAGGTCACAAATTATTTTAAATCATGGTTCTTTGGTTTTGATTGTCATACTCTTTTGATTGAGAAAAGCAAACATCTGTTTGGGCTGGAAATTTAGAATGCTTTTTCTCCATACGCGTTAATACTCTCCCTAAAAATGCATAAATTGCTCCGCTATTTCTGAGTCATTGTTTTGCTGTTGTTGCATGTTTCTTTGGTTGCGTGTTTCTCTTTTGTTTCTTTGTAGTTTTTATTTATTCACTTATTTATTTTAATGCTTTACTGTCTGTGGACAATTTTTTAAGTGGCAGATTTAAACAAAAATTGTAAACAGTTCTCATAAAACAACAAGAACTTGACAACAAATGTTTTGTTGGTAAGTGCACAAGCATGTTAGAAAGAACTGGAAACATGATTCCTTGCTGGAGAGTGCTTTAAAGAACTGGCTTATAAGTATACAGCACATATTATTTTGAAACATATATATGTGGACACAGATATGCACACATGCTGTGCTACTGGGGGAAGCTGAATCTACTTAGACACAATGTAAGTGATAAGTGAATGTGATTTTCAAAAGGTTTTTGCTCCCTTAAAGGAGTGGCTGTAGATCTGATTTTGGAGCCGTAGCCGTAGTCCTCAAAAGTAGTGCCCATATAGCTCTGGTTCTTGACTACATTAGGTTCAACTTGCAGTGGTATACTCCCATTAATATGCAAAAAACTCTGTTGCACAATGGGAAACTTGGTGGACTTAGATGTAGGAACTCAAAATATAGTTTGTTCATACAAGCTAATTGTTCTATTACACAGTATAAATTCTTGAGCCTCCTGTAACTCAGAGCAAGGAAAGGTAGGATATTTTTTGTGATTCAGTGTACACAAGGAGTGCAGTGTTTTCTTTAAGAGGTCAAAATTGACAAATAATGCATACATCTATGTTCAGAAGCAAATACAGATTTTTCTGCCACTTAGCACTGGCTTTCTAAGGAAATATCACAAGATCCAGTGTGGAAAGTTAATACTATCTCCTTCCCCGAGCATCAGAAAAACAGACTTTTCTCAGCTGTACTTAAAAAAGTAACAAAATGATTATGTTTCAACTATAACTTTAAAAGCTCTGTTTTTTCAGCAGAACCTGTATAAAAGGTCTTTCAAAAATCATGTTTTCTACCCTTGGCCTCTTTCTATTTTTAATCTTTCCTTATTTCCTGATTGTATTTATTTTGACCTCTATCAAATAGTTTTTCTATTACTGTTATTTTTGCAATTTTATGGTATTCTTGTAGCTTACTGTATTCTCTTTGATCTCCTCCCTTTCAGCTTTTTCTTGAGTCTTTTTCATCTTTAAAAAAAAGTTTTCTTTCTTCTTTTTCTTTTTGTATCTCTGTCTCTCAAGTGCAAGCCTTTATTTTGCTTTAGCAGGTAAATGTTTGGAAATCATAAAGAGTCCCAAGGATTCTGGAATCTTCTACCACCGAACACAAAATATTTCAAATTCTTGCTTCAAAGGCTTTCAGGAACAAAGAAGCTTTTCTCAGGCCACTAGTGAATCCACCAAGTTCAAATGAACTGTCTTTGCCAGCAGAGATGAACTAATAACAGAACAGCATAGTCTTGCAAGAGTAGCCAAATATGTTCAGTGAACAAACATATCCTTGACATCATAAGAAAAAAATCACAGTTTATCTCTTTAATAACCATCTTCAAGGGAAATTAATGCTACTTTGTCCTTTGTGCAGAACAGTAATTGGATTGTGTGTTTCAATTATATCTGGACAAAGGCCAGGATATTGAAATACTTCTAAATATTAGATTTTCTTGTCCAAAAATTAGATTTTATTGGCATTCTCTTTCCGAGATTTCTTCATTAAAAGCTTCATTAAGCATAAATCTTCTTTCCACACAGCAAAAAATCTAAATTATTTTAAAAGGGTCATTTAGAAAGGTTTGCCCTCCCCTCCTCCCACTGTTTATGCTGAGAGACGAGTTACCTAACAAGGTTAGAAGCCAACCTGCCTTACCTAGGATGGTTTTCAGCTAGCTGCTTGAACTCATTGTCCCAGTTTGGCCTTCCATAGAAGGTCTTCTGCCTCAAACCGGTAATTACATCCACCTTCTCATCATAATGCAGGCCTATGTGAGTAGCCTAAAGACAAATTTGCAATGTAATAATTTTAAAATCAATAACGTGTACTCAAAGTAATAGGAGAAAGCAATAACACTGCTTCTTAGTGAAAGACAGGAGTATTAATAAAGAAAAGTATAATTATCAAAAGACAGTGAGGTAGTAATAGTGCAAAAATACAAAAAAGTCAAAAACTGCCTGTGACCTCAAAGGAATTCATCTTCTTGTGACTAAATGTTTGATATGAGTAGGGATCAAATACCTGGTTTTAGTACCTGGGCCTAATTTGATCTGAGAAGAAGCCACTGAAAAACAGTGCTCTCCCTCCACAGTCCTGGGGTGCTCCAGGAGCAGGAACAGCACCAGTGTAGGTGGGTAAGCAGCATAGCTCTAAGATTTCTCCTGAATCACATAAGGAACAGCACGGGGTAATAAGGTAGTGCTGACAGGACAAAAGGGTGTGAAGGGAAGGAGGTAATGTGACGGAGCACGAGTGAAGAGACTCAGCCATCTCAGCAAGAATAGTTGTCTGCCTAATTGACTTTTGGTCTGATATTTGCTCAAGGGGGAGGCAAAATGTTGACAGCTGGAAGGTGAGGGCAGGTTTGTGCTTTATTAAGATCATGAATAGCTTCTTTCAAAACTTGTTTTAGGTAATACCCTATGATATTGCTGATCTAATAAACAGACTATTATGACTGCTATATACTTTACAATAAGAGATTTTTCTGAATTTTGTGTACATACCTCATTCCTTGACAGGAACCCTAATTTTTAATATCTACTACGCAATCCTTGCATTCAGTGGAGACAGCAAGAAATAAAATAGTAAAGAGATACCTGTGAGAGTTTTTGACAGATGCCTAACTTTGATCACAGTGTGATCTGAGTTTGGTTTGAAAAAAAAAGAATCAGAGAGAAATAATCAATTCATTTAGGTCTAGGTAAGGACTAAATAAGCTGAATTAAAGCTACCTACTCTAAAGATTAAGTGCCACTAGGTAAGATGATCCAGTGAAATTATAGGATGGTGAATTTAAGGACAATCAGAGAAAATATCTTCTCAAACAGTATTAATTGGTCAATAGTTTTTTTTTTTGAAAAAAATGTTTTGAATGCAACAGGGTTCAAAATTATGCTGGATGCATACACAAAAAACATAAAATATAATACAGTAAAAATAATAAAATTATCTGATGTTTTATAGTTCAGTGCAAAAAAGTGCTAGAATCTGTTTAAAGAAAGTTCCAAAGACACATGGACAAAACGGCCTTTCGCAAGATTCTAGAGGCTCTCTGCACTTTTGTTTTTTTGGAACACTTGCTAGCCAGGGCTACACAAGACAACATACTGTACTGGAAGGATCACCAGCTTGTTTTTTCTGTTCCTGTTTTTCTAAATGTGAGAGGGAAACAGCCTGGTGTCTTTATATTTACAGTTCTTTGTCTCTCTGCTTCATCCATCATTCATTCAGCTGTTCCTGTTCCTTATGTCACCATACTGGAAGAGCAAGGTACATTAACTCAGACTCATAAGAGTTTCATTATTACCTGACTTTCATCCCAGCCAGTAAGAAATATGTGATAACTTAGGAAATCATTTTTCCCTTTTTCAATCATTTTTGTTTCCAAAAGGAACAGAAGATCAGCAAACCACTCAAATGTGGATGGGTCTCGGCAAATCCAGTAAAAATAAACCTGTGAGATAAAAATAAAGAGATTTAGTAAGAAGAAAACTTTCAATGAAACTTCCTAATGATTAGCACGAGCTATTAAACACATTGTGTACAACTCTCCACTATGAATTTAAACATAGTAACACATTTTTTCAGAGATGTAGACGTTCTATCATGTACAAAATTTTATTTTCATCTTCAAGATTGAGCATTCATGTGTTAGCAAAGATAGGCAGTGTACAAGTTTCCTATTTTCCCCTGCCAGTATTTCTTAATTTAACATAGAATACCTAGTCCTGCATTTCTTGTAAATAACTTTATTATCCTCTGGAACTTTATATTGATTTTCAGTTATAATATAAAGGGAATTTCAATTTCATTCAGCACTGAAGCAAGGAATTCTTGTTTCTCAAGATGCCACAGGTTAACAGTAGATGTAGTCAAAAGGTATTAGTTACGTAATTCAAGTTACAAACTGTACAAAAAAGCCGAGAGAACATACCTAATTGCTTTTTTAAAGAATGTCTGGTTTAAATTGGAGCTCATAACTTCTAGAAAAAACATTAAACTGTAATTTTAAAGTTGCCAAGGAGGTCTAACGAACTACTGTCCCAGGATGTAGTTTTGTATTGGTTAAAGACCTATGAAAAATTCAAATAGTTTTTCTCATCCACACTTCTCTAGCTTCATCTTCCACATGGTGGATATTTTTTAATGTTGTATGTTGGAGTGGAGAATCTATTATTAAAGCTTTGCTCCCCAGGCAGAAATTAGAAGCTAGAATCAAGTTGTCCTATAATCTTCTCTTTGGCAAACCAAACATTCCTGGAATCAGTTACTAAGAGGCTAATTTTTCCATTTCTTAGTAATTTTTGTGGCTTTTTTTTCTATATATTCCTTCATTGCACTAACAGTCACAAACAAACCAGAGTGTTTCTTATTTATTGGGAACCTGGTAAAGGGAAATGCTTGCATGGGAAATCATATCTTTCAAACCAGATGGTCAGTTGCCATTCATATGAGTATGAGTCTTTCTATTTCAAGAATCCTTGCCATGTCATCTTCAGGTGGATCAGATAAGACTCCCCTAAACCCATATTCTGCTCAGTACTTACATTCAAGTGGTCCAGGGACATTTATGACCTCTCCAGAAAATGTGTAATCTATTGTGGTCAATTATCTTAACTGCATATAAAGTATCTTTTAATTAATTAACAATGTATGGTGTCTGGAGTCTGCTAGGCACTATTGTGATGCTCAGATGCACCACAATTATAAGAAAAATTTGATTATCATTCTTATTACTCAGGTTCTATAGCTTTTGCTATGCAATCCATCATTCTTTTTATTTGATCAGAGGGTACCAGACATCCAAACATCCAGTATCCTAAGCACAGATGCACACAGGGAAAAACATCTGGAAGCAACGTGAGTTCTCCAATTCAAGTCTTCTGCATATATCTCCAAGGTTATTATGTCCTTCTAACAAATCTGAGGTCCAATCTTGTGAAAAAACATGGTTTGCATATACTGAGTGGAGAATTTGTGAAGCCTAACTTGAAGACCTAAAAGTTCTTCCCTGTCACGTACACTTCCATTATGTGCTTAAGGACAACAAAGCTAATGTAAATTTTCTCTTTGGGGAAATGAATGCTTCTCCATCTGGAGGCTAAGCAGCATGACTGAATGTAAGATGTTGTTTGCATCTTTATGTTATCATGGAAAAAGGAAAAGGCAAAAACAACGTGGAAAATTGCTAAACAAGGATATGTAGCATAGAGAAATTTGGGAAGAAGGATCAGTGTTGGAAAAAGCTCTTGTTTCCCTGTCTGTTTCTTTGCTAAGGACACAATGACTGACTACTGTCAGTCATCTTGTCAGCTCATAGAAAATGAGCCTCTGTGGGCAATGTAATTTTGAGTGTAATTATTTAAGTAGTGCCTCTAAAGGGATACTTCACAAGCATGAGGAAAGCTTAAAAATATGCAGTTCCAGGTGATAAAGGAATGACATGGAGGTCAGCTATAAAACTATAATGAAGAGATGGTTGACACTATTTTTATTATAACCATAATTTTTATATTGTTGCAAAATCCCTTAACTTCCTTCAACTCTTCTCTATTTGTGCTCACCAGGCTTCTCTGCCTTTTATTATACCTCAGTATAAAAGGTAATCTTTAAGGTCTGTCCTCAATCATTCTGGGGAACTGTGAAAATTTGGAAATTGTAGCCCATTTCCATAGGATCAATGAAACAAAGATTCATATTAAATGCTTCAGAAGTGCAAAAATTGGAAAAGAAACCAGAAAGTTATAAGGATATTTCCCAAAGTTTCTATAAACCAAATTGCCAGACTTTTGGTAAGATGCTGGAAGAAAAATATGGTAAAACTATGCTTCACTGGAGATTTGGTGAGAGAGCATAACAGTGATTTGAGATGTTTCTTAGATCTGAATATGCTGTATGAGTCCATCTGTCGTTTCTGTAGGAAACATAAACAAAGTACAAACCTAGGAGGAAAAGATACAGCATTCACGGTTAAGCAGGATACCTACAGTCCAGAAATAGGATTGTCTGCAGAACTTTAGTATGAATCATCTTGGTTGTTTGCTTTTTCCTGTTCTATTTCAATGTTTTACTTAAAAAATTGCTTTGCAGGGGGATTGCTCCTGATTTGCAATGGCATAGGTTAAGATGAAAAAGCAAGCTTGCTGACTTCATAGCATTTCATTTTTGTAATCAATAACAGCGTTATTTAAATTAGCAGAAATACATAATTTGTAGCCTTAACATTTATTTAGTTTTTATATTCAAATCCTAAAGTCCCTGCTTGTTGGACATCCCTAGCACCTTGAAAATGATGCCACTGAGTGCTGTCAGTCTGTATCACACTGTGGCTGTAGATTTGTAGTGAGAAACGTTTTCCCCCAACCTCTACTTGATCGTCTTATTTCTGAAGTATTTTTAGCAGTTCATTCTAAACAAATAAGTATTTAGTACTTGTGTATGGAAAGGAGGCGTGTGCTCCTAAAGGAATAATTAATTGTGTTCAGGGTAGCAACTGGGAGAACATAGGCAGAGCTGAGCACAAGCACATTCAGGGAAGGGGAAAGAAAAGCTAGCTGATGAGCTAGGGTAGCATGGTCCTGAAAATGGAGAACTATTTTCTAGCATAGATTATGGAGCTTGAAGGAGTGATTTTAGCTGATTACAAACCTAACTGTCACCGTAGCAGCCAGTTCGACTGAACTAGGTCAAGCTGCCTCTAGCAAAGTCCCCTTGAGAAAGAATATCACTTTCTGAAGCAGCAGAAATTCCTTAAATTCATCACTGGTGCAGTTCTGCTGAAGCTGTATCCATTGCACTGCCTCTAAGGTTTTCATGTTAGCAGTAGAGAGCATTAGCTAATGAAGAAAGATTGTCATTCTAAGAAGTATTTTTGACCATGATTATAATCTTAGAAAGAAAAGAGAGTGAATTAGGCTGGCCTATGGATAAAAGGTCTTCTCTTATCTTAGATCAATAAGGACTTCTAGTATAATAAGCTAAAATAAATGCTGTTTATGAAGGAGTCTTCCTTTCTTTACACTGAGTACCTATGGCAAAGCACGGCATATAACATGTATAATTAAAATACAATAAACATGCAATAAAATTCATCCTCATTAAAATTGTAGAATAAAGCTAGCATCAGTGCATTTCTACAATGAAACAATTATTCAGAATCTAGTATTTTTTTATTGTAAGCCCAATAATATTAACTGACTGTGCATTTATTTAGAACACTTAAAAATCTGCTTCAGATTTATGTTTCATTAGTCTCTACCCACCCTACCTGCATCAACTACATTCATCAGCTTGATGGCTTACTCAAGTAAACTGTCTTAAATTTTCCAAGTGCTCTTTTCACAAATTGAGTTAGATGCAGTATTGCTATTAATCAGATCTGTAATGCAGGCGCTTGAATTGTTGCTTATTTCTACAGTACTTTACTCCCTTGCAATATGTACATATTTATAATTTATTTTCCCCTATTCTGAATTTTGTACAGCAGACAAGAGCTCTCATACTTCTTTCCTGTAAGGTGGAAGAATATATTTTGTAAATCATTTTCTACATTGCGGAAAGTCATTAGTAATTACTTGCTGATGATCATCTGTCTGTTTCCCTGTGCTCTGAAGATGGAAGGAAGCTGTGGCTCTGAACAAAGCCATCTTTCCACAAGTGAGGTGTAAAAGATGATGAGGTCAGGGCCACCCAGAGAGGCACTCTCATCCCTAGCTCTTGTTGCTGTCCCTTAGACGTAAGACGCTCAACAGCAAAACCCTCCTGCACTTGCAGCTGGACACCTCCCTGCAAAACCTCTCCTGCTCCTAAATACGCCATGCTGCTCATGGGCTGTAGCAAACCAAAAAAGTTCAGAGATCTCGCTCAGCCACGTGAATTCATCCAGAGGGCCATTACAGCTAAAGCACAGCAGTGACAGCAGAGGCACATACAACATGGCATAGGATTTGGAGTTACAGTGGCAGCTTGTGGCCTTTCACATAAATATAGGAAAAGGCTCAAATTCATACTCCTAAATTTGAAGCAAGAAACCTAAACTGCTTAAAGATATCTCAGGTTGCTTTTAACAGCTAAGATAGGCCAGCTTTTCAGGCCTTTAATCCAAAATGTTTTGCTGAGAAACTGATGGTCCGGGGTGGACCTCAAAGTGGAAGGTTACCTCAGACAGGGATGGTTGGTCTAAAGAAAATGGAAGAGATTAAGTAGTTGAACAGTTGTTGAACTCACTGCCAAAGTATGCCGTGGTTGCCAAAGATCTACATGGGTTTAAAAAGCAACTAGGTGAGGTCATGGAAGAAAAATCTATTAAGGATTATTAAACAGAACAAGGCAGCTCTTGTATCAAGACATTACTGAACTTGCTCAAAGGCAGTGTGCATTAAAGAAGTATCGCTATATGATTTTTCTGTCTGATGTCTCTCATGATTTTTCTCTTGGTGCTCATAAACAGACAGTATTGAATAAAGGATATGGGGCTAGGTAGGCCTTTGGTGAGACTCTTTGTAATGTCTTTATTTTCAGTAAAATAGGAAGTGCACATTTGCTAATAATCGCATCTGATGAATCAGTACAATTTTATTGATTTCAACAGCAATTGGTACAAAAAACCATATCAGTAATATGAAGAAAAGATCATTTTGTGCATAACTAAAGGCAGAAGAAACTTTCTAGCAGCAGTTCCCTTCTTAATCACTAAAAAAAAGATAGAGAAATGAAGGCTCTAAGGCTATTTAATTGTGAAGAATCAAGTAGATAAATGTGCCCTCCTTTCAGTTTACTGTTTTTGTTGATGTTTTTTTTTTAATTATACAGCTACAGACATTATAGAAGCTATGAGCATTTATAACACAACTGTATGTAGGCAACACTAAGAAATATTAGTTCAATAAGCGTAATGATAACTGTACTCAAATCAAAACTAAGTTGTTAAAAAAAAACCAAAACACAAACTTTTATTTATTTCCTTAATAGACATTTCTATGGTACTCAGCAGAAAGAGAGCACTGAATGCTTTGTGGAAGATTAAATTATTTGTAATTATACCACAAGTGGAAGATTTTAACCAATGGGGAAAAAAATGTTGAGCAACCATGAGATTAATTGCTCTCACTAAGATGACCACTAAATTTTTTAAGGAATGTTGTGAACTTCCCCAGTACCTTTCATCTAGGCTTTCAAAATACTTTACAAACACTAATGTAGCTAAGCCTCATAACACCTCTGAAAAATAAGCATCACTATTCCCACCACACCAATAAGGAAACCAAGATATAGATAAAGGATATACAGAAATCATTATACTTTTGCATTTCACATGAATTCAAGAAAACCAAACTCTATAGCAGAAAGCTCTGGAAGAATGCACCATGCTTTTGCCTTGTAGGCACACTTGCCCAAGGTTCTCTCACAGCTATATATCCTGAGGTATACTATACACTCAGTGTGTAGTTAAATTCACATCTTTTCCCCTTAAGATAACAACAGCGATGATAATAATAATGTTTTTACATGCATGCATATACAATATGTATAATACACATATATAACACACATATGTTCATAGATAGAACTCCTTCCAGTAGAAGTGATCATTCTGATACAATGCAAACATTCGCAAGTAGACTTCTTTTTACATCTAGCTCATATTTTCGTTTTTATTTCCCTCATTTCCCTTCTTTCTCAGTGTTTTTTTCTGCCTCAAAGATCCCCCCGGCAATCTGAACCTGTCCTCATCTCCTCAGTTACTGAAATCTCAGATGCTTTCATAGTGGCAGCTTGTCATTAAGAAGCCAATTTTAACACTTTTTTATTTAAAAAGATCAGCCCCTTGGTCCTGCAATCAGCTCCATATGTACTGACCCTCTCGGATATCTGTCCTTAAATGTGTGATGCTGAGCAATTTCTGATTCAGCTTTAATGTTGGAAAACCAACTAAAGGAAGCTGAAAGAAAAGTCAGCAAGATATCAGTAGCCTTGATGGATAGAGAAGAACATGCTTAAAGCTTGTTTTTTTTTTCCTCTGTTATCTTCTTATCCCTCACCCTGCCTCATTGAGTATCTCTCCTTCACCTGTCCTCTCTCAGTAGTGCCTCATCCATCCCTAGCAGAAGGCGTATAACAGGTGAGTACATCAAGAGTATGTTAGCTTCATTGGTGCCATCCATTCCTTACAGCCTCCAGTATATTCTTTTCAAGAAAATAATTAAAGTTGTTTGCAAGCAGAAACATACATCTTGATATATGCATCTCATTCAGATCTCAAATACCTTTTTTCATTCCTTCTGCAGGGTGAGAAAAGCAGCTGATGGGTGCTGAAAGCAGCATTTTTGTCAAGACTGGCATCCCAAGGGCCTGCATGAGACCTGCACCTGGGCATAGAGCAGGCATTGCCTTCAGTGCTCTCTGAGATGACCTCACAGGATTCATTTTGTAGGAGAGGGGACAGTTTATCTTCGAGCTCTGTCTATGTGTCTACCTATGAGAGTTACTATGTATTTGTCTCCAAGTACAATTATGATTCTTCAGCTTTTACTAAAACCAGTGCTTGGGCTGCCTTATTCCTCAGGAAATAACAGGGAAATTGGGAAAACCTACCACAGAACAGTTCCTGAGGCAGCTGGAGAGTGAATGAGTGCATCTGATGGCAAGATAAAGCACTCAAGTGAGTCTCCAACTCTGAATTGCCTCTGCAACCTGGAAAATAGATTTATTTGTGGAACTCTTTAATAGAGTGATAAACTTTCCCACTTACCTTCTGCAGCACCAATACTGTGTGAGGATTGCAGCACTTGTACCAAATGGATTTTAAAATAGAGGCAAATGGCGTGACTCCTATCCCGGCTGCAATGCACACACTCACTCTGTAGCGAAAAACATCTGTGGTTGCAGATCCATATGGTCCATCCACAACCAATCTACAGCAACAAAACAGTCAAGAATCAGCAACATATAAAGCAGTAGAAAGGTTAACAATTTGTTGGGCTACATGTTTTGAAAACAGAACTTCTGTTAAAATAAAAGAACTCTGTGACTAAGCTGGTGCATGAATAATCCGTGCAAACACATTTAATTTTCATTGGGTGTCACTTAATAGCAAAGCAACTGTTTTTCTCTGAAACAAGAGAACAAGAGCACCCATGTGGGTCTGGGGCCTGGCCATCTGTTTAAGCATGCAATTGCAATTTTCTGGCTTTCTGAAATGTGATTAGTCATATAATTGCATGTCCAAATTTAGCTGTGGAATTTGCATATTTAATTACAAATCACTGAAAAGCATCCTGTTTTAGAGCTTTATTTTCTGCATTGTATATATCAAAGTAAAGACAAACTGATTATATTAATTATTTTGAAAACTTCTCCATGTGTATTAAAGTAATAAAAGAGACAGTAAGAAAAAGGTAGGCATATGCAAGGAAACTAGTACTTTCTCAGCTCTTTCAGAACAATCAGTATTTCAGAAATACATTTTTGGCAGTAATACTGTACTTAGTATCTGACACAGAGGAGAAATTGTAAAGGAAAACATTTGTTTATATTGCTAGCCTTTATAATCAATATTACTGATGCTAAAGCATTCATTTTGAACAACATTGGAGATGAAAAAGATCATTAAATAATCAGATTAATTCCATTACCAACGTGGAATATAAATACATGCTGTGTTTTGAAGTGCTCTGTCCAGTCTATCTTTAGATAGTATAAGTGCTTCAGAAGATTGTTTTGGAATCCAACAGCAAGTGCAGGAAAAAAAGTATTTTTCTCCTTTCAGATTTCTGTTGTTTTATGCTTTTCCTTTTTTGCACCAATCATCTTAAAAGTCCAATTTTGATAGTATGAAAAAATATCCAGACATAGAAACAATTAAGTGTTTTAACAGGAAAGGAAAGCAAAATCACTAAACAATGGTATAAACAAATGTATGGACACAATGGATCTGAAAACCAATTGTTGCTTTCCCAAAGTGTACCTGAAATCCTAGCAAACATTTTCTCTTTCATTTGTATTTGCCAAATGGCTCATTTGAATTTCTGCAAGTGTGATGTAGCAAATGAAACAACAACTCAGAAATAACTTTTGAACATCTGGTCTCAGACAAAAACAAAATAAACTATTTTTAGAATATATCCTTAGCAAAATTACTGTCCAGCCCTGTGCTTTTTGTGCACTCAGAATTAAGAGCATACATGTACATACATGTAGTCTAAGAACTACTTTAAAATAAATGTTCTACATAGATCAGTGTGGTCTTTGTAGCAATTCACATTGTTAGTTGACTGAGAAGAAATAGATCTTGGAGGAATTTCAAGAGATTATTTAATCTCTCTGCATGCTATAAAACAAGATCAACTACATTTAATTAATTCCTTACAAATATTTGTCTAGTCCATCTGTTCGTAAATCATCAGATGACAGAGATCCCATCATTGGTTTGGATGCATTTGTGTGCCCCAGCTATAGAAATTAGCCTAATGCAAAGACTCAGAGAAAGCAAGGAAAGAGAAACAAAGCTATACAACAAGTCATTTGATCTAGAAAGGGTGCAGGAATGTAGGAAGGTAATTAAATAGTGACAAAAAAAAAAAAACAATACTGCATTTTCATATGCCAAAAGAGGATTCAAAAATAGAGATATAGACTATTCCTAGATATGCTTTGGATTACCTATCTATTTAAAATAGATGTATATTTTATTTTGATCTTCCTTTATTAATTACAATTTGCATATTTTATTTTTAGAACCTTACCTTATCATTTTGTTGCTATATAACTTCCATCTTTTGCTTGGTTTCTGCTAAATTAAATTTAATTTAATTCTGCTAAGTTATTTTTTAATTATAGCCACCAGTTTGTTGTTTATCTTTAGAAACTCAAAGCTGTGAAAAAGACTTGTTTTTTCATTATTGCTAGCTTAACTATTGAAAGATTCTTTATTATGTTGCAAGAAAGCAATTCAATGATGGCATTAGGCAGGGTAACAAAATTACAAAAAGGAGTCTTTATGTATAACATTGCTGTTTATTTCAGTTTTGCATTATGGCCAGCAACATTTGATGATGTTTTCCTCTTTCTCTCTCTTTACACTGGATGTCAGTCACTGTGGGTCATTTCTGCTCCTGTTCTACTGAAACAGCAAAATTCTCTTTCCAGCTGCCTTTTACAAAGGCACAGCTTTTATTTCTAATTCATATTAACTGACATAAAGCAAGAACTACGCATTTTCTTCTCTGTCTCCGCAGTCTGGTATGCCTCTGTAGCTTGATGGTGTTCATAAGCTTTTTAGAGGAATGTTCTTTAGCATCCAAGTACCACTAAATTACATGAAATAGTTTTACCTTTTGCTATTTGGTTTCACTAGAACCACCTCATCAAAAGCAATTTTCTGAGGTAGAAATAACTCCTTCAGTGTTAAGTCCTAAGCATTCCACTGTAATAGAAATGATCCTGTACTGGACTGTTTCCTGTGCTGAAAATCCCCTCTATGACCACAAATTTCTAAATGGTTTGAATCCATCTGGTTTAGAGCCAGATACTTAGCAGATGTAAGTCTGAATGGCTGTATTAACTTCAGCTGAGCCCTGCTGACTTTCAACAATGAAAGATCAACATTTTGCTTGGATTAAGATGCCACAAGATAGAACTTGAGTGCTGATAACCTTTATATATTAGGACAGAGACTGAGTTGAGGGAGACTGATGAAAAGAAGCAAGGCTCATTTCTGTAGCCACAAATTATTTGAGTAACCTGAAGGGACAAATTGAACATTTGGGTGGTACGTGATTGGTGCTGCCAGAAAGGAAACATTCAGAAAAATAGCCAGCAAGTAGCTTTTAGTGTTGTTTTAATTCAGTTTGCAATTCAGTTTAATTCAGTTTGCAATGTCTATAGATATAGATGGCAGAGATGTAAATAATAGCAATATATATGTGCATACATATATATAGACTTGGACTTGGATTATTCATTGGGCTTTCATGATTGCCACTGACCTAAGTTCATGACTGATTTTATTTGTAGGGGTTTTGTTTTCATATTAGCATAATAGCATATTTCTGAACCTCGGACTATGATCTATGATCTGTGCCACAAAGAACAAACACAGAATTAATTAAAATGTTAACATTTATTTTTAAATGTAAAATTAACTCTTTAAAATGTATTGTTTGATATTCAAACCTTGGTAACATCCACAACTCCTTGAAAGTTTTCTCCTCTGCTCCAAAAGCCTTGAAGAGGGCTGCAGTCCAGTCCCCAGCTACCCTGATGTGAACACTGAAGAAGTCTTCCTCAGGAGCTGAGGTGAGGGTGAAGGGGTGCCACTCCAATGGTGAGATCGATGAGCACTGCAGAAAGATATACTGACCTGCTTCCATTTTAAAGCCATGCTTCTTCATGTGAAGCTCTAGGACTCCAGAGGAATGTGTCACCACCTGAAGAATAAATAGTAAAAAGTTTTACTTAATTTTCTATGAGAAGAATAACCATTTTCATTGAACTACAGATGACTTATTAATCATCTGTACTTGAGCTCAAGTTAATTAAAATTGGAATGCACAGTCATGTTTAAGTATCTATAGATAACTGTCTAAACTTTATACTGTAGTGCTGTTGCTGTCCAATAATTTGAGAGTGTATACATTGTATAATACCTGGCAGCTTTCATCATGAGTCATAAGATGCAGAGTAAAGTCTTTAGCAGATCAATGTTTTCACAGAATCACAGAATCACAGAATTGTAGGGGTTGGAAGGGACCTCCAGAGATCATCTTTGTTAACTTTTTCCTAACATGGAAGCTTTTGCAAAAGCCTTTGCAGGGATCTCCTGGAAAGAGTCTAGCAGAAGGCCATGAAAATAATAAATGGCCTGGAGCACCCCTCTTATGAGGAAAGGCTGAGCATCCTCGGTCTGTTCAGCCTTGAGAAAAGAAGACTAAGAGGTGATCTTATTAATGTTTATAAGTATCTTAAGTGTGGGAGTCAAGGGAACACGGCTGACCTCTTTTCAGCAGTCTGTGGGGACAGGACAAGGGGATGGCCATAAAATTGAGCATAGGAAGTTCTGTACTGATATGTGAAGGAACTTCTTCACAGTGAGGGTGACAGAGAACTGGAACTATTGATTTGGCAAGAAGAAACAGGGTTGGTGGAGTTCAATCCTAGCATACTTTTATTAAGATGTAATCTCAGCTTAGCAGTTAGTTTTGTGTCGCGCATGGCATACTGAGATGCAAAGATCACAGTCACCCTGTGAAATCAGCAGCATGATTTATCCTGCATGCTTTTCCCTCGCACAAGATAAGCCTCCTTCTGATCACTGGCTTGATACACATGGACTTTGCTGCTCCAATTTACTCTGCTGTGAATTAAACAGATCCTTAGCACACAAAGATGTTTGCAACTGGGACAAATTGGCACAGTTGTGCTGGTATCAGTGACATTTTGACTATTTGTGCTGCCTGATAATAAAGCCCTTAATCTCCTTGGAAGCCTTCTGATTTGACAGTAAAAACCATATCCTGATGAAGTTGAGGGCCTCTATGCCATTTACTCTAGTGTAAGTTGCATTTAAGTTCTGCGGAAAGAAATGGTGTCTGTGCAGAGGTGCGTGATGGTGGAGCTTTGTGAGTCTGGTAGTTTATTAATCAAATTTGGTCCCATATGGAATAGTCTTATGGACTTGCTATTGGAATAAATGCAAAACTAAAATCAATACCTGGCTGAAACCATAGTAATGAGGGAAGAACAGTTGAGTCTGGAGGTGAAAAATAAGATCATAATGTGGAGTAGATGTCTATAAAAGGGAAAAAGTAACGCAGTGGAATCACTTTTCTTTTTACACAAACGTGCAACTGTGCTACATACCTTAGTAATGACTACCTCCTGTTGAAATCTCCAGAATCTAACAATCCTTTCACAGATATACAGCACCACAGGACTCACAACCCATTTCCAAGCCTGTAGAAAGTTTAATATTAAAAAACAATATTTTTTTCAAGTTCAATAAAATTATGTTGTGTTCACGGTTTAAATCTGAAGTTAGCCTAAAATGTAAGTATTTGCTTTCTCTTCTGTGATTTTTCTTTTTTTTCATTTGCCTTTCTTACAGGAGTATTTCAGTTGCTACCGTAGCAATTCTAATGTTCTCATGGAATGGACATATGGGACTCTGTCACAGACACAGTCCAAAAGCATTGCTAATATCCATCTGTATTCCAGCCAAGAAGAGTCTTTTAATATCCATTCCTACTACGAAGCGAAAGGATTAATCTGTTTAGGAGTTAAATATAAACATAATTGGACCTAAAGACATATAGATGCACATAATATCACCCATCATAGGCTTACTCTTTTTTTCTCTTCAAAATCTAAAATAATCTAGATGGATCAGATCATATATGGGTACATCATATTGTCAGCTGTATGTTTTTTGCAACTACATGCGAAGACATTAAATATCAAATATTCAATTAGAGAAATGGGATGTAATTCCATTTAATCCATTAGGTAGCTCTTACTTAAGGTGTTGCAGAGGATCGCTCTACTTTTTGTTGTGGACCACCAGTACAAAGTCCTTGGCTATTCAGGCTATTCAAGAATATTAGCATAGTACAGGTATGTGCTATGACAATAGCTTAGATAATTAGATGTAATGGAATCTTTGGAATAATAAATAAACGAAGTACGTGTTTTTTATGTGTTTTGTTTTTCCCTCATGTTTTTTTTTTTTTTTTCCCCTAGGAGATACAGCTTTATTGCAGTTCAGTTACTCATACAATGCATTTTAGCCATCTGAGGACTCTTCAATGATATGACTATCAAGAGTAACTTTACTTATTGAAACATTGACTTTTCCTCACAAGCTGAGTAACAGGGAATATAAAGTATCTTTTATGAGAAGCAAGCTGTAAAATTATGTGGCTTTCTTAGAAAGTGATAAGAAAATGGAGCAGCAATTTCCCAAGTTTAAGTTTTGAAAATTAAATTTTAAAAAATGACTTAATAGTAGGAAGAAACTAGTATAAGCCAGGAGATTCTGAGCTAAAGCAGAAACTCAACGCATCAGTTGCCCCTAAATACTACAGGTGTCTCTGCACAGTGGTTAATCTCAAATGTCTTGAATATATTAACATACATCAAGGCACAATAATGATGAAACCTGTTTTTCCTTCCTTCCATTTGTGTTACCTGTAAATAAAATCATGTGACAGGAATGTTAATGCTGCAGTCTCTCTAATGTGACAGCTAAGCTAAGATTTCAAATGTAACACTTCTTCTCTGCAACAGAGCTTTCAATCCAAAATATCTCATGGCTGGTTTGGGACAATGAGGCATCTACCAGGAGGGCTGTGCCTCTAGACAACGCAGACTCCTGGCCATTTAATCAGAGCATCTGTATTCCTGCCCAGGTGGTGTTTCCTCCTCTGATGAGAATGAACTAAGCACAGTGATGGTATGGTAGACACTGTGAGGACAGAAGTTCAGATACACTGGGTGTAAAAGAAATGTTTAAAACACCCTCAGTAGGAGGAGATGGGCAGAGACATGAAGCCAGGAAGCAGGCATAGATGGCTGAGGGGGGGGCTCATCTGCCTCAGCATACCTGAGGCCAGGGGAGTGTGTGCTCCAGTGCCACACTGCACAATCCCAGTTGCACGTGCACAAGGCTGTCCCTTTGTCCCAGTTCTAAATCCCTGCCTTGCTGGTGCTGCCACATCTTCTGAGCCTCTGAATGGATTTTTGCCCATTGAGGCTTGTGGGCTGACACCATTGCACAGCACTCATCCAGCAAAGCCCAGTTCTTACAGACAATTGATGTACCATGCGGTATCATCACAATTCATTTGAAGTAATGTGACTTTGCAAGCACAGCCTTGGGTATGCAGGAAAGTGTGGCAAAGTAGGTTTAAGATAGAGAAATGGAAGTTCTCTCCAGTTAGCTTTATGATAATGAATGTCAAGACATGCAGTTGGAAGCAAGTTTGTGTCTGTATTCACAGTGTGAAGCCACCTATTGATTTTTATGGCGACACTGTAGCTGAAATTTTTAGAGAGGCATTCATTTTCTCATTAATATTCAGTTTGAGTAGTGGCTAACAATAGTTTAAGAAAAATCTATGTCAGCCATTAACAGAGCTGCAAGATACTGAATGCTAATTTTTTCTCCTTTACATTAAGATTTCCTTTCATACGCTTTCTCTTTCTGGAAGAAACAACAAAAACTTGCATATGAGCAAGATAAACCTTGAACTGTAAATGTTAAATGATCTTGTTTAGATGCTAGACATCTGACACACTGTACAAATCTGCTACTTAATTACCCCCTGTGGATTTGCAATCTTGTTGCAGTGAAACCACCCTTCTGTGGGACATTTTTCCTGCCTTTCATAATTTATTGTTTCAAATTCTCTCCGTTTTACCTAACTTAAGACATCAAGGCTGGATGATAGGAGGTATGTGCCCCAAAGCAAGGACATAATCTTATCTTCGGTTTAGTCTCCCTTGGTAATTAAGCTATTAATATTAAAGCACTATTAGTTAAAATAATAATAATAATTTGCATCTCTATCTCTCCTGTTTCACTGCATTTTCTGTATCTCTACTCCTAAAAGATTTTTACCTAGAGACCATATTTGTGCAATGAGATGAGCACATCAAGGCTATTGCTGATGCTAAATAAAAACAAAATGTAATAAAAAAATACAAACCTACCACTGCCAACAAAACACAAAACCCACAAAAAAAAAAAAAAAAAAAAAAAGGGAAAAAAAGCAACAAAACTCAACTAACCAACCAAAACACAAATAAAGGCCAATTTGAAATAAAAAGGAGTGCTGACTTACTAAAGAATCTTCCAGAAGTATTAATTATTATTACTAACACCAAACTTTTACAAATATCTCTCCATCTGTACCTGTCTGTACAGATTATGTAGGAGGTAGGGATCACTGTCTTTTCAGTGCACGGGGGCAGGTCACAGAATACAAATGGGCAATTACTCTCAAAACATGACACTGAGTGCCAGTCACTGGCATCATACACTGCAGCCCCCTCATTCCTTATGACAGACACATGGCCTCTCAAAGAAGGATATTAAGCTAAAAGCAGAAGACAAACAATACTCTTACCACAGGTTTGTTACCAGAAAACTGCGGCAAAGGGCACTGAGTGGTTTTCTCCCATTCCAAGTAGTGTTCTTTACAGTAAGTGATGTTGTGAAGCAGCAGACTGTGAGGTGTCTGAGCCCGGACTAGCTGACTTAAAACAAAAATATTTGTCAACACACCTCTTTGTAATGTCTCCGGACACGTGTATGTTTCATACTAGTACTTGGATGCAGACATGGAGACAACTGACAATCAAAAACAGGTCATTTCAAGACTATTGTACTCTCTTCATGTTTCCTTTATGTTTGCCATGACTTTTCAACCAAGTGCAAGAAATTTGTTATAATATTGGTATACACCAGTGCAAATGAAGAGCACAAATGAAGCTGTTTCAAAGAAAATGTATGTTCTATTTTCTGTGTCAAAATCAGAACGATTTCCAAATTCTTTGGAGCAGACACACTGACCTCCTCTATATATGACCATCTGGTACTGTTTAGAAAAACAATAAACTTTAATGGAGACAGACCTTCTCTTTCCTTTGCTGCTTTCTAAATGCATTTTTAAAAGCTGCAAATAAAGTTGGAGGACCGCAATTAGATGTGTGCTTTCTAAACATATTAAATTGTAAGTTCTTTACTTCTGAGATTGCTAAGGATGTGATTTTTCCAAACATATCAGTCTCAACTGCTCAGTTTTAATGTGTTTCAGCTGGTGTTTACTGTGGGTAGAGAAGTAAGATTTTTATGAGAAACGCTGTTTGTTTCACATGGTTTCTCTGAATTTTCCCTTCCAGTCTCACTTTGACTCTACAACATAAGCCTGTCCTGCCTATTTGTCTTACAAGAGACAAGTGCTGCCTTCTTTTATGTGACAGTATCACCAGCTGGCACCAGTTTAGACAGAAGACAGAAAAGAAGGCTTGAGAGAGCTGTTGCTTTTGTGCAGTCACCTGAGAAGGAGGAAGCACACAAAACCAATGACTTCCGAAGGGTTCTTCAAAGGTTACTTGAAATTGGATCCTTACAGATTTAAAGGGGAGAATTAAGGAATGCTTTTTAATTAGACCAGGATAGAGTTTACAGCATTTATTTGAAGCTGTGCCTCTGAATCTTGGGACTAATCAATTGGGCCAATTCCAGGAGCCCTTCGAGGTTAAACTAAATGTAGCAGATCTCAAATAACAAGAAAGGAGGTGAGGAAAGTAACAGTACAGAGCATGGTGCCAGCCTGTTACCTGTCTCGTGATAACTCCACGCTCCCTGAAGGAATGGGTGTGAACACATTGCAGTGGGCTAAGAAGTTCCCATGTGTCAAAGAACAAGGGTCTGTACATACTTCAGAGGCAGTCAACACTATGTGAATGTTTTATAAAACAGATGTAAAAAAGATATTGTGACATGTGAAAAGTATTAGTATAGCTTCAGGCCATATATACACCAGGTAGTTGGCAGGAAAAGAGCAAAGCACGTTTTGTTGAGAGCCTAACCCTCTGTGCACATTTGGGAGTTACCAAAGACTTAGGACTAGATCTACGTTGGTCTCATGAGCACAGAGACAAAACTGTTGGTATTGTTTCATCTTCAATCACTCTACGTTGTACAGTCTAATGCTGTGCAATAATATGAACCAAAACATAGGGAGAAGGACTGCAAGATTTGCCTCAAAACTACACGCCTTATCTGAATTAAAATGAGCATGTATATGGACTACTAGAGGTTCACAGTAACACTATTGAAGAGGGAAGATAAAGGAAAATTAGGGGAAGTGCAGAAATGCAGAAAGCTTAGCAAGCTTGTACAAGCTCTCTTGGAAAATGCCTTACAAGAGCTATGAAGTTAAGGAGTATTCCTATTAATTGGAGCCAATAGAAAGTTGATCTGTAACACCCCCAGTTCTCAGAGATGGAAGTTCCTTCAGTCTGAATATGTTGATTCTGCAAATCATATGACAGGGAAATAGCCAAAGAGTGTTTGAAAGAAAAACACACAAAACACAGAAAAGTCCTTGGAGAAGTGGTGTGTACGAATCTCAGAAGGTTTTCATTTTGCATCCTGTCTCCAAGCAAAGATCTCAACAGTTTGTTATTAGGAAGTCACAGAGTGAAAGATTTGGATTGTGTTCATCTCAGACTTTTACACATACCTCATGTAGTTCATGCAGGTACTTACCCTGTACCATGGATTATTAAACCAATAAAGAAAACCACAAAGAGGTGGTGGGTATACCAGAACACCTCATAGCACAACCTTCTGATGAGCTCTGTGGATGAAGTCACGATCAGAACAAAAGCCACAGTTATCATAACTCCTGTTACTCCAGCTATGGTGGTCAGTACCTCTCCTGTTATGTTCTAGAGTAAACATACATTATTACTATTACTAATATTGTTGTTCGTAGTAGCATTTTTACTTTGTTAATAATATCACTGTTCTTACTATTATATATTAAATCAAATTTTATGTTACATTTTCAGAATAGGAACAAATTCAGAACAAGACTTTCAGGCAAGGCAAACCTCAATTTCATTTCAGAAAAGCATGGAAAATCATCCACCTGTTCTATTTCTGATTGGGCTTATCCCATACAGATTTATAAATGCTCACTGCCACTTATTTGTTTGAGGAATTGAAAGGAGGGAAATCAGGCAGTCCCAGTAGTACTTTTACCTGTTTATCTTATGTAAAAGCATCTCAGAAGAAAAAAGGAAACAGATGAGAGAGAAGATTAAGCTTAGAAATGTAATAACCAAAACAGCTCTACCAATTGTGTTATTCATGGGAGGATGATAAAGTGAGGTGCTAAGTCACTTGGAATGTGTGGGTCTGTTTTGTGCTTATTTTACTTCAAAGATTTTCGCAGTCTTTTAGTGGTGTATAAAAATGGCATACTCTCATCTAAATAGCATATCTAATTTGCATGTTCTTTACATTTACCTGTACATCACAGGATAATATGTAGTATCTGAAATATATGCTTATATTCACATCTTTACATTAATATTCTGGGCGAAAGCATGTTCCTTCTTATTCGTGACTCACAGACATCAGCGAAGGTCTGTTACATCTGTCTAAACCCACTAAAATAAACTGAAGTGAGAATGAAGACATATTTTGAACACAACAGTCAGATGCTGATCTCATTTGTAAAGTGAATCATGAAGAACAGCAGTAAGAATTTCACATGCAAGATAAGACTGAAGCTAAATATGGCAGCAGAGTATAAATAAAGCCTCTGCTTGGCCTGCAAAGTATATATCTCTTTTTCTAGGGCTGGTGTTCAGGAAGGAGGAAACTGAATATGCCTGCTGGATCATGAGTTGATTCTACAGCTATTAGTACAGTAGAAGTAAAATCCACATGGTATTTGTAAATTCAACTCATCTGATATTGAAATGCTAGAGGTGATAAAATTCCACAATGTCATTTTTACTGTCACTTTTTACAGTAAAATCATCTTTTCAAATATTCACACTCGACTGCACACAGCACATTTTCAAATTGGTGCCTGTGAAGAGTGTGCTCAGACCCTTCTACATATTAACAGGATTGATCTAGGTGATATTTTGAACACTTCCACTACACTGTCTATTTGAATGTTGAGATGAAACAAGGAAAAACATCAAAAACTCTTAGTACATTTCTACTTCAGGGTTACAATGGAATTGGAAAGGAAATCTGAGCTGTTGCACTCAGAATTTTCCTCTCTGAAGTTAGAAGCAATCTTCACTTTGCTTTCCTTCATAATTTATTAATTCTGAGTGTAGCTACTGAAATACAAGTGGGAGATAAATATAAATATTAGAGGTTAGAGTATAATCGAGGCTATAAATTAGCAAGTAATTGTGGGGCATATTACTGTGAGAAATCTGGATAAAATCTCTGAAAATGCTAGCTTTCTTTTTCAAGGATATTTAGGATCTTAACGTTAATTAGAAGCCTACCTCTCAATTATATCACTATGAGAAGGCTTAGCAGAGAAAAAAAATACGTACTGGAAGGCAGTGGTTTGCCATTCAGTACTGTGAGTTCTGCTCTGTTCTGGAGAAACATTTCACATGCATGTGGTGAGTGTAGGCACCAGCTATTCAGAGGTGACACAGCTTAGTCCTTCCTCACTGTTCTGCTCTGGCTACTTTGTCAATGCTAACATCAAAGCTTCTGTACTCATAATTTTGAGACCATTAATTTGCTTATTTTTCTTGAAACTTGATAACTGTTTATTTGTTTGTTTAGAAAGATGCAAAAGTCACATTTAAGCTGGAGAAGAACAGAGAAAAAAAAAGGGACAAAATGCCTTATAATTGAAAAGTACTATGAAAGACTACAGTTGATTGTCCAGCCATCATCTCACTGTTTCTGATTGAAAGGGCCCACTCCATGGTCTTTTAGAAGCATTCACCACAAGCTGGGTGTGTGGGAATTTCCTCAAATGTAGAAACATTACATGTGGGAGTCTTACTAGGGGCTTGTGTAGCCTGAGAGTACACAACAGCATACAAGACTATACACAAAAAGTAATATAGTGTCTGATGAATAGTGTAAGGGATAAAGCTGAGAAACTTTTGTGTGTTTTACATGCATGCATTGCAGAATTGATGTGTTTTTCTGTATCTTGTGAGTATTGCAAAGAAGATCTCTAGCAATGCTATTACAAGGTACCCAAGTAAGTAAGAGGGATGCGCAGTATCATTATTTCCCCAAGGAAAACCGAGTCATTCATTTGCAGGACAGAGTTATGCATAGTCTTGCACATACTATGCCAGGCTTCCCCATACACTGCATCCCCTAGATAGCAAGCCTCTGGGTGCTGTTGGACGTGTCTTCCTTGGGCAGTCCCACTCTGTAACAGGGCAGAAGCAACCTTCAAACTGGGAAGATATCCCATGGGGAGAGACAAATAGCAACAGTGGAAGCAATGTCGTGTGTTACTGCTGTTCAATTGTTGTTTCTTGCTAGAAAGAAGTTGTGTTTGCTCCATATATTAACAGTTTATTTTAGTTTTTAAAATTCCTTGCAGGTTTATCTCACTGTCTACAATTTATGAGTTCCCTTAGCCTTCCCCCTACTTGTCTCCTGGCAAACTAATTAAAATACGATAGGCATTTCTTTGAGCTAAATAACCTGAAAATGCAGTTCTGACTAAGTGTTTTCAGCTGAAATTGAGGTTAACCTCTGGCAGCACCTTATTGCTTTGCTTAAAAGGCTTTGAAATATAGTTTTCATGACAGTAGGATCCACAGAGGAAAACTTTTTACATGAAGAAAACCAAAAAGTGACAGCTTACTGTTTCGTAGGTCCTGATTGGGTTCAAGTAGCTTTCATTTGGCCTCTTGCCAAGGCCAGAAAGCTTATTCCGCAGCCCCCCTGCTTCCTTTGACTGGCTGTTGTGATACCGCTCTATATTGATCAAGTGGGCAACAATGTGGATGGCTGCATGAGAGAAGAGAGGCACAAGACTATAGACATGCTCGTATGTATCCTGAGTGCCAGAAGCAGTTCTGTTAAGCACGCACTGCTTGACTATTTGAAAAGCTTGAGCATAAATCGAGAGCTTTGAATAGAGTAAACTGACAGCAAAAGGAAAATTTTATCTGAACAACTGGTTCAAACTGGAGGCAACAGCTGCAGGGTTGCACGTTTAGAATTGAGTGTCCTGCAGGCTTCAGTGTTATCCCAGGCAACCACTTGAGAAATGAGATAAAGCTGTTTACCTTGGGATTTAAAGTGTTAAAAGAAAATTTATAAAAATCCACTTTTGTTTGTGGTTGTTGTTTTCTTTTTTTTTTTTTTTTCCTTTTTTTGTTTTTCATGAATATTCTAATATATGCCAAGATCTAATATTGCTACATAGGACACTATCTTGTCCATTTTAGGCATAGATTTGCACTGGAGAGATTTAAGAGACGCTTTCAAAATCCTCCCCTGTCCACAACTGGGTATAGCATCACAATATGCTGGTGGAGCTTGGGCATCACACAGGAATTCTGATTTTAAGGAAAAGGTCTGAATCACAGGGTTAGCTCTGATTTGTCCTCAGCAGCATTCATTACTTCTACTTCTAGCATGATTCCCAAAGGGATAGGAAGTGACTAGTCTAAAAAAATGCATAAGCGAACTTCCTCATAATCCTTTTTCTAAGCGGAAAGTTGATCAAAGAGGGAACAAAACCCTTGTTTTATGACAGATTAACACAGATAAAATCGTAATCAAACTAGGAGTACATTTTCACAGTTTTCGGTAGGACAGATTTTAAAATCCATTATGGGAAAGGTGCAATTAATGCGAAACATTAAATACTGAAGGATGAAAACCAACAATGAAAAACAATTAGATGTTTACAAAAGCACTATTACCATACACTATTTCAAGATTTTGTAATTACTGTTTTTGTAATTGTAATTGTAATTGTATATTGTAATTATTAATTGTTGTCCTTTAGATCCATAATAAGCTCTCTTATTGCCTGTGTGGTTCCTAAACAACATGTGGAGAGGGCTGTGGTCATGGGAATACAAGTCAAGGAAGAATGCAGAACATGAAAGTACTTAAAAGTAGCCTGTGCAAAAAAAGTGAAAGATCGCACTCTGTCCTCCAACGGCAGCTTAGCCCATCTGTCCAGGCTGGAGAGAGGTTATTTCCACTCAGTTCTGATATGATCCTTCTAGAGCAGCAGATGCACTTTTGTTGACTGTCAAATTACACTTCACACAAAGCACAATGTTAGCTTTAGGGACTCTTCCCACCATTTCTTTTTGCCTGCTCTATCTCATTGCCCCATGCTTAGGCACTCAGTGGGTGAGTCATTTTTGAATGAAAGACATTTTTTTAAATACTTATTATATGTAACTTAAAGTAGGAACTTAAACCAAAGTATCTGTCCTAGTCACTAGGCTGATTGGTTATTCTCTTGTGAACCATTTCCTGATGAAACCTTTAATTACAATAATCAGTTGTTTATTGGCATGGACATTTGAAGTGAATAAACTGAAAATAAAGTGAATAAACACAGTACAGAATTTTTTTACACGATTTTTTCTGAATTTTTGGACCAATGAATAATAAATTTATGCAAATCAGAATAGCTTAATCAGGATGGAGATTCAATTCAAATGTGTTTAAAGTGCTTTATAACCCATCTCTGTCCAGAGAAGCTGTGGATATCCCATCTCCAGAGGTAGTCAAGGCCAGTTTGGATGGGGCCCTGGGTAGCCTGATCTAATGAGTGGCAAACCTGCCCATGACAGGAGACTGGAACTAGATGGGCTTTAAGGTGTCGTCCAGTCCAAACCTTTGTTCTGTCATTCTCTAACTCTGACATGGTATAAATATTCACCACATCTTCAGGATCAAATGTATTTTATGCAGTTGGAATCCTTAGCTTTATTTTACCAACACAGTTCCCTGAAACGCATAAACTGTAAGTTTTGGACTACACTCGCTCGTTTAGAGTAGCAACACTGACTAGATTTGGAGATTTCAATCTGTATTCATAGCATAACTTACTTTATTTCACCTTTGAAATATATAGATTTGTAAAAAATGGATATGGCACACTGTGAAATTTTCATACAAAATGAAGACATATCTGTTGTTTGGAATGCTATGAAATCTTGCACTTTCCTCAAAGTGTGGGATTGCACATGGTTTGTACAAATTCTAGTTGTGTCAGCAGTGACAGGAAACTGAGTGCTACCTGCTACATGCTGAGTGCTGAAAGTGAGATGAGATGGTAGTTTCTTCCATATTCCTTGGCAAAGTATTTGCGACCCTGAGCAAAAAAATAATTGTATTGGTTGAACAGACTTCATTTCACAAGAAAACCTCTAGCCTAAGATTTACCGAAGGCAATCATATTGCCAGATTTCCCTGGAAGAAGGAATCTGTTTTCTTCAACTTAACCCAGTGAGGTTTTTTTTTCTGTAAGCTATTAAAATACATTCTTTCGTCCAACTGTATATTGTTCTGCTTTACTGTAAATGTTATTGTCAATGGAAACAGCATCCCACAGTCTTCTTTGGAAATCTTTCCTTCTGGGTAATATTCTCTCCAGCTTTCATCTAGCAGGTGGAAGGTATTACAAGAGTGGAAGACTCCCAGAATGAACAGGATAGGTCTTGCTTTCAAGCTATTCTGTGGTAACTATTAACATATACAATATAATGATACATTGAAAAATATTAACATTCAAGGCAACATACTGAATATGTCTGTTTACCCCAATATTCCATGATCTTAAATTTTGCCTTGAGTGTCATTAGCGTAATACTTCTGATGTTGTTTTTCTGTGCTGCCAGGAAAAAATGATGCAGTCTAAAACTGAATTATAGCTGGATGGTAAGAGTAATGCAAAGATCTAATTCCATTTTCAACGTGGTTCATTTTTTCAATAATTGTAGCGGACTAAAAAGTCTGGCACTGGATATGCTCCCATTAGCTAAAATATTTTACATTCCTAAAGTACATTTTCTGAAGGTTCTTTGCATCTACAGTGTATAGAATTTACCAAGTAATTTCAAAATTTATGTACAAATTGCTGAAATCTGCATTTACAGTTGCTGAAGTGGTCTTTTGTTTTGTTTTGTTTTTCCCCTGCACTGCTTAGATAAGGTAAGTGTGAGAGCAAAGTTTCAGGTATTCAGTATTGAATCTTCAGTTCAATATTTTCCTCATTCTGCATGACTAAATATAAAGTACAAAATAAATCATGCAATCACTTAAAGAGTTTTCTTTTTATATCTGAGCATGAAGACTGAAGGATTTCAACTATTGTTTTTAACAACATCTGGAACCTCTGAAGCACTTAATATGCATTAATTTGTATTTGACCCTGAGATGTTTAATGTGGTCCACCTCTGAGATCAAATAAAAGGTTTTATTGGAAGGAGTGGAGGAGGAAAAGAGCTGCTATCAGAGCAGGGTGTTTACTGTACATATTCTTAAAAACAAAGAGATGTAATTAAATTATCTTGAAAGTCTGGTCAATTTAGCTCATCTTATTCAGCCAATTGTGCCATCAGTGAAGCATGCACAACTCTCATTGAACCAAACAACAATTGGATGTGTTTATCTGAGAACAAGATTTCTCTCTCTTTTTCTGCATGCCTGTACAGGATAATAATCAAATTGAAGCTTGCAGCTAGCAGTCAAGCATTTTGGTTAACCAGCATATCATGGTAAAATTAAAGGGTCAAATCTAGACCATTCAGCTCATGGTGAGGAGAGCAGCTATATGGGAACTTAAGCTGAGAACAGATGAGTCTGCCTCTGACCAAACCTGTATTCTTTTGCAACCCACTGCCTTATGTCTGGTTACATAAATCCCTCAGTTCAGCTCTGTGCTTTCTCTGTGGATTAAAAATGCACAGGTTATGTGAAAATTACAAAAGTGACAAACAAACCTACGTGAGATTTAAAAAAAAAAATTTCCTGAAAACTCAATACCATGCGAAGAAGTTACTCAGACCACCAACAGCCTTCACCTACAAACACTGTTCAAATACTTTTGAAAGTGGAAAGCTTTCTTGATTTTTTTTTTTTTCAGTTATAGATTTTTCAGTGCTTGTCACAAGGCAAACAAACCTGGCACCTCCATATTTCTGTCTGCATTTTGTGTATTTTTAAAGAAAATCACACTATTGAATTTGTAAGGAGCAGAAAGCACCATTCCAAGCAGACTAATTACAAAGAAACCCACTGTCCTTCTCCTACTATCCCTTAACTTCTTAAGTTTTATTCACATCATAATTCAACCACTGTTGCAGGAGTGGATCTGTATAACTTTTCTGCAAGCATCAAAACAATACAACAGATAAGTTGTTCTTCAAAACATGCACTGTATGCCAAAGTAAAAAAGTATCACCAGCACTGCCCACTTTATAATAGGTACAAATGTACTTTTTTATGACAGTAAAGGCAGTGTAGTAAGAAAATGGAATTGTAGAAAATGTCATTTTCTATCTCTTGTAGATATCTTTAGGCACCAGCTCTCAACTGCAAAGCCTCTTTAGAAATTAGAAAATACAAAATGATTTGCACTGATCAGACTGGGAGTGCGTGAAACAGTGGTTTTATTCCAGCAGAATTACAGATCCATAAGGAAGATTTATTAGTGGGTGAATAACTCCCAGACAGCTCTTATCACAGACAGGCATGCAGAATGCAGGAAAACAAACTAAGCAGAATTCCCTTTACTGAATTTTCAATGATGCCCTTGATTATAGATAGCATTGTTTACCCTCTCTTCTCTCTCCAACTTCCCTCTTCCACTAGTCTCTAATTATATTCCTTTACGACCTGACCAATTAAAGCCTGCTCTTGGATTTGTATTAGAGTTGATGAAAAATTAAAGACACAGATGTACTTTTTCCAAGGCCACGCGCACCTCAGCTGAGCAGGCTGACTGCAAGAAGTCAGACAATACTAGTGTCACACTGACTATTTTTAGCATGCTATTAAATAAATATGCTGGAATAACACCACCTGGCAAGCTGAGATGAATGCATGTTACTTTAATAATAAAAGAGTCTACAATTTTATATTGTAAGGATAAGATTACTGATCTGATCTGCAAATTGGTTTAACTTCTTGCTGCCACATTTAGGCTATTGATCATACAGGGGAGAACATTCACTTAACTAACAATTACTAAATTGCAATAGTCTAATAAGAGTTGACTATGCTTCTGTGTAACAAAAGGAAATAGTACTTGGATAAATGTGTCACTTGATAGAAAAATGGCATCTATTTACACATCATTTTAACAGTCAGGCTTTTTAAAAAGGGACTCAATATATCTGTGGGCACTTATTTTTTAATCTGAAAAGAGAGAATATTAGTTTTTTTCACTGTATGTGCTATAGATTGATCTATTCTATTCTATTCTATTCTATTCTATTCTATTCTGTTCTATTATTTGCATTTGAAATTTAATTCTAGACAATCGTGTTTCTGGCTGTTCTTTACCCAAGACTGACTACACAATGATGTAGCATTTTCCCAAAATCTATATTTTCTTCTCATTTTTCTGTTAGGGAAGTGCTGTTTTTCAAGTTGGCTTTTTTTTTTTTTAAATCAAACTTGTCTGTATTTTGTTTTATTCTCCAATTGTCTCATCAACTCCATTTTTTTTCTTCTGGAAACCAAAACCAAACCAAGTCAAATCGGCCAAAGACAAAACAAACAAACAACAACAAAAAACAACCAGCCAAACAAGCAAAAAGAAGCCCCAACCCCATATTTTCTCCCTAGAAAATTATAGAATTAAATAGCGATGCTTTCTGTCATTACATATCAGGTCTATGTGTTTGTCTTCTTGGAAATACTGAGGCCATAAGGTAATCACTTTTCTAATAGATTTGTACTTCCCAAATTGTCCATCTTAATGCAGCAGGAAACATTTCATATGAATGTAAAACCCAAAAGCATAAAAGCTTTTTGCAGTTTTGCTTTCTTTTTGTAGCATTAGAAATTATACACCAAGTAGAAGCTGGTTAGTTTACATTCCTGGGTTGATTTGTTAATTACAGAAGCAATGTTCCGTTCTATAGGAATCTGCTATATGCTGAAACTGAACTCTGATAAATGAATGAATATGACAGATAAGTAAATCACATAAGCACATTTTCATCTGCCCGCCTTCTGCTCTGAATTCTTTAATGCTAATACAAGGAACAAATTTTACTTGTTGGTTCCTGACAGTGATCCTAACTCCATATGTTTGTCCTCAATATATGGGGACACTGACTGCCCATACACACAAAGGAAAGCAGCTCCTACACACAGACTGCAAAGTATTTTGGGACTGAGATCCACCCTCACAGCCAGCCTAGGGGAAATACTTTTACCCTACAATGTATTTTGCTTATAAATAACCCTGATTACCTCCTGCATCTCCATCACTTTTTGTAAGAGAACAATGCCACCTTTCCCAGATACCTCCCCATCTCTATGCACTTATGTCTTTCGTATTACCTTTTATTCCTCCTTCTCTGTACACTGCTCTTCCTCACGCTATCCCTGTTCCCCATGTGTCTTCTAAATTCCCCAAGCTCCATTCTTCCCCCAGATCCTTTAACCATCTGGGGAACAGGAGGGTGTTTTCTTTGTCCCAGCCTGGCAAATTATCAGTATTCAAAGGGATCAACAGAAAACTTGAGATCTCAAGATGCAGGTTTACCCTGTACCTGTATTCCACTTTTTAAAAATATGTAGGAATTTAATGATTTTGAGATAGCTACTTGCTTCAAAGTCAGATGAAATTTATTACCTGATTGAAAATTTATTGAAGAAGATTTAACAGTGGACAGATGAACAGTGTAGCTCATAAGTATCATTTTCTTAGGAAATCAGTCTATAACGCTATTTCATCTCTCCAGACATCTGCTCTAAGGGGTACAATGAAAGTTATTGAAACCAAATCAGCTAACGGGCAACCATTAGTTATTATCCAAGTTGAAAGGATTACAAATGGTTAATGAAATGAGACTTCCTGACTTATTTAAAGATGCAGTTATCAAATGCTAGTACTAAAATAGCACATGTCAGAGCTGATGACATTATGCAGAATCACTGTGAAATTCAAAATAGTTCAAAGGCAAAGAACAACAACAACAACAAAAAAGCTTACTTGCATTTACAGCTATTCCATAGGCAACCACCTTGTGAAATGTGATGTTTTTGTCAAGCTGCCTCCTTGGTGCTCCTCCACAGCACTTGGTAAAAAAGCAAAAGTTGTTTTATATCATTCGTATTACTACTTGCAACTTCCATTTTGGAAAGGAGGTTAGAGGAATTCAGTATATCTAAAAATGAAGTTCTGGTTCAAACTTAACTTTGGGGCTCAAGTAAGTGTTTTTGGTTTAACAACACTCTAAGATTTCTTAAAACAACTCAGCTTATGAAGGGGCTCAAATTCAGGTTGGGCAAAACTGCTTTCCTCTATGACACTTGAGGAGCTTATCTGAGCTGACAACCGATTTGCTGGAATAAGAGCACCAGAGATGGCTGTGTTTACAACCAGACTGGGCCATTGCTGCTTGCAAGCTCAGCCAACAGTCTCTGCAGGAACCTCAGAAGCACCTGCAGGCCCATGTCAGCCCCTGAAATATGTGCTGGCTGGTTGGATTGCTTGCTTGTCCTGACACAGTGCCGTGCCAAAGATCCTGGCGTGTAACCATGTTGCTTCCCAAGTAATAAACTGTCCAAAAATCTGGAGCACTGCAGGGTTCCATGATGGGCCTCTGATGGGCACTGGTTCGTCTTGTTCTGGCCATGCTGGAACCAGAACCCTGCCTAGTGCAGAATATTGTTTAGAAAATCGAAATATTGATAAACTGTGAGAAGAGTAACGCTTCTCCAAGTTCTTACTCAGTATTTAAATGGGCATGCGAATATTTTATATAAATTCACAAACTAGTTCAGAAATTCAGGACTTTTTTTTTTTTTTAATTCTCAGATCCATTGGACTCAAATAGTCAAAAAACATTGATAATTACTGGTCTGAAGACTAGATGAAATGTTACAGTGCTTTAAAGGACAAAAAAAAAAAACGCCACCAGAACTGAAAATAAGAATCATCTGACAATAAAATAAATTAATGCTGTGATTTATAAATTCCAGTTGTTCTCAGAGTTGTGAAATCATCAGTGATAATCCAAACAAATGATACTGGAATTCTAATAGTTCTTATTCTCATAACTCACTGCAAGCTGAAGCTATAGCTAGTAGAGATAAAGCCGTAAGTACTTCCTATGTGTGATGCCTAGGTTAATGTAAATGCCTCTGAGCAGACAACCCCTCAAAAACAGAGAACACATGCTTACAAGAAGGGAAGAACTAAATGGTCTCCACTCAGACAAAAGGGCTTAGGCATGTTCCTTATTATAGTTGTGGCATGTTTATATGTACATTTCCTCTCACTTGTTTTCTCTTTACAGCCACGTAGGATACTCATGATATTTGAATATTCTCTTCATTTGACTGAGTTGCATTCTTACAACCCCTTTTTGTCGCTCCTCACTTTTCACTTCATGACACTGTGCTATGTGGCTGCCAAAATCAGTGTTGCATTGAGTGTTGCGTTAAACAAGTAATTTGTTTCTCCTCAGTCGTAAGTACTGACAATTTAAATGGTAATAGCTAGGCAATAGTGTACAGAGTTCTCTATCAAAACTTAAGATTCCTTGGAAAATGTTTGATATGGACAATGTTGTGGAACTACAGAAATGAAAAGGAGAGGATAATATGGCTATTTGAGAGATGGTACTTACAGTGCTTGCTCCTCTTAAGAATGAAATAAGATTTCTACTGACTGGTAACAGGATTAGCATGCAGTTAAAATTAAGGCACGTTGCAGAAGCTCTCGCCCAAGCCAAGGTTGACTGTGCATATAACAGTATAAAGAAATTAGATCACAAGTTTGGAACAGAAGATAAAAAAAAAAAAAAGGAAGACAACACTACAGTAACACAATACTTTTATATGAGAAAATTACTGCTAAGCATAAAAAAAATATATATCATAAAAAGATGTGAATAAAATCAGATTACACATTCATTCTTCTTGTGGAGCCTTTTAACAATCAAATTCATACTTACTCCCAGCATAATCCGTGTATAAATGTAAGCATCTTCATCTTCATACCAGCAGAAGGTATCAATAAACAGATATAAATTCAAGCCCAGCCACACCAACTACAAAGCAGATATGCTGCAGATCAGTGAAACTAAGAATATTTTTTAATGCATATAAAGCTAGGTATGGTTATAGTTTTGAAAAGTATCTGAGAAATACTTCAAAATAAGCATGCAATGCATCTCTTGATCACAGATGATAGAAATCACAAATGCCTGCTGGAATGAGGCTATCTGTTAGCAAATGCAGGATTATAGCCCTATCCCCACGTCCCCAACAGAGGACACAGATGACATTTACAGTGTGGTGGTAAACTTGATCTTAAACACAAGCCTTAGCCTGGTGTCTAAAAAGGCAATAAAACTTAAAATTAAAGAATTCCAGAAACAGAGCGAGTTAGACACTGAGGAAATTCCTTTCTCTACTCTTCATGCCCATCTGACCAAAACCTCTGAAAATGATACGTAATATAATTTGAATTACAATGCCAATCCTCTCTTCCCTTTATCTGAGGTCTAATGTATACAGACTTAGAAATAATTAAAAATAAAACATTAAGACTTTAAATTGTTTTTAAGACTAGTTGTAAAAAGGTTGCTGAATATTTTATAGCAAGCTTTACATTTAGCTCGGGAGTATTACTCTAAGCAAACCATAAAATGCCTTTAACAAGCTTGAAATATTTATATATATCCAATTAGGATTTTAGCTCTAAATATACTCACTAATAATAGGACTGAGAGTTTTTCATTCAAAATCCAGCATGCCATTCTGAGTGTCTCTTCTATGCTAGCAGCAGCTAAGTCTTGCCTTCCAGTGTAACCTGAGTTCTCTGTCCATTCCTCAGGCTTTTCTAGTAACTCCTTTTGTCTTTAGATGTTAATAAGCACGTAGTGGGAGCAGGAGCCCTCCAGGAATTTTCTAATTAAAATCTTCCTGACAGGAACAGATCACCCAAGTGACATGTCTCCTGACCTGTGTAAATAAAATGCTGGTCATTGTCCAGTACTTCCTCTCTACAAAATTATTGTTCAGCAAATGAGAGATGCTGTCATTACATTGCTCTCTTTTTTTTACTGGCATTTATTTGTTGGTGGTGTTGGTTTTTTTTTTTCGGTATTAAGTGATGGGATTTTTTGTTTGTTTCTTTGCTTTTCTTTCACTTTTCTGTTTGAGCAGTATATAATGATTCTTCATTATACATCTATTAATTTTTTAGCAAAAGTGAGCATCCCTTATTTGTATATAAGAGAGAAGAATTGCTAAAAAGCCTTTTGGAATTGTCAAAGTCGCTCAGTCAGGACTCACAACTGTCAAAATAAAGTGTGACTCTATAACATTCTTCTAAATTTCTTGCAACTGATAATGTGGAAATGCATGACTGTTTTTCATTCAGGTGACTGAGGGGATAAAATAAGCAGTTAATGTTCTGCTTAGAGAGTTTGGTGCAACTGTGCATATAGCATTCTTTCTCTCACTACTAGGAGGAGAGAGGGAACAAGTAATTTCCTTCTGGTCTTCCCTATCAAGCTTCGCAAACAACAGCTGCATCCATCCATTTTCAGTGAGGTGGGAATGTCTGTTTCAGAGGTCTTAGCACAGAAGGGTTAGGGAGAAGCCAGGTCTGTTTCCTGCACACACAGCTAGAGCAGCCTTCCTCTTGGCTCTCATTTGCTCCTGACCCTGCTCCCACTTTTTGTCTGCAAAGTGATGGCTTTGGCTGCTCTTAAGGTACTCAGGAAATAAAATGCTCTTCCAAATGCAAAACACAAACACTTTCCAGGGTTAAAGCTTATGATGTTTTCCAGGATTTGTTTTTATTTACAAAACCAGATGTTCCTATTCATCCAAGTTTGTCTAGAGGATATTCAACATCCTTCTCCTCAGAGGTTTGCTCCAGTGAGGATTTAATGAGCCACCTGCAAATGCGAGTCAGCAGGACTCAGTACCTCTCAGCAAGATCAAAACCTTTTGACAGGCTTATCAGAGAATGAGGTTGGTCTATCCAGGACTCTTTTTGTAAGCGGTTATTTGAATGTCCAGCACCATAATTATAATCAATGTGAAGAACACATTTTCTGATTTTCCTTTACTAATAGAGAAGAATAATTCATTTCCTTTCCTGCACATGTCAAGAGGGAAATCCCTTTCCTTTGGTACATCATGTAACTGACAGTAGTTGATCCTCTTGGGGAAAGGAAGTCGATGCTGCTCAGGCAGGCTGCTCTTAGATGTGATCAGCAGCTTCTGAAGAAAGGTCCTGAACAGGTCTTAGCTCCTATCTTGCCCTGCCATGATGGATGCTCTGCATTTTCCCGCAGATCCATTTGTACCGGCACAGGCTGCCCAGAGAAGATGTGGATGCCCATCCCTGGATGCACTCAAGGTCAGGTTGGAAGGGGCCCTGAGTAGCCTGAGCTAGTGGGGAGCAGCCCTGCCCATGGTAGTGGCTTGGGACAGGGTGGTCTTTGAGGTCCCTTCCAACCTAAGCCATTCTGTGCTACTGTGACTCTTTGATAACTGTGCAAACTCTGCCTGTGGTGATCTTCATCCTCCCCTGTAAAACCCATTCCATCCGGCCTTCCTGACTTGGCACCAAAGACTTTTAGTTACAAAACAGCTTAACATTTCATTTTTTAAAGGTCAGTTGTTATTAATCTCAGCTTCTTTTTATTCCAGTACTAATGGCCATTAACAAAGAGTTACTGTAGAAACATGATTATGAATATTCTGAATGCAAATATTTACAAGAGATTTGTTTTGAGCACTATTTTTCTTAGATGGCACAATCCAGAATTGTTTATTAACAAACTTTATGACAAGCCATGTGCAATGTTCGGTTACTGTCTATTACATGACTTGATAGAGGTTATTCCCAAAACCACCTTATTTATAGTAGCTCTGATAATGCAGGAGCTATAAAGATAGCAATTATTGCTGTATTTTTCAGAGGGCAAAGGAAAAAAAAATAAGGAAGAGGGGAAGAGTACACAGAAGATGAGGAGAAATACTGGTAAGGTCAGATGCCAATTTTAACTACTTTAAACGAAAGGGAGGGAGAAAGCCCACTATCAGGATTAGCTGCACTTCAAAGGGAAATGCTACACTGCGATGCTCTGCTTTGAAGTACAGCCGATCCAGACAGCAATTTTCTAAAATGAGTCAAAACTGGCATCTGAAATAGATTTTTTTTTTTCTAAGTACAGCAGATTCATATGCTGGTTTAGGCTCCAAAATTTGTCTAGATCAGCAGCTGTACTTCAAAGCAGCACATCTCAGTACAGCATTAGACTTTGAAGTGCTTGTGGTCCAGATGCCAGTGCTCTTAAAGGAGCCGATGAATCAACTGCACTTTGTTTTTTGTCTGCTGAAACAGCTATGCTTTTTCTCATATACTATGATAATGTGTGTGGTCTTCTGTATGGTATCTATCAATAAAAGCATAATGCTAATACAAAAGCTCTTTATTGCTACATTTGCTAAAAAGGAACAGATCATCACCATTTTATTATACTGATCTGCAGTGATCTCAGTCAATTTCTACTGCAAACAATTCAGACAAGACTCAAGGAAGGATATTTTGCTGAACCATGTTTCTTTTTCTTTTTTTTCCATTGTATTATTGTTATTGTGAGATGAAACTGTCCTAAAAAGACAAGGATGAAATGTTTTTGTTCTGGCAGATTAGGAAAAAGCAGTGTTGGGCATGCTGAGTTTCCATGCAAGAGGCAAGCAGGTCTGTCATTAATCTGAAAGGTCAGTTTTTGCATGGAAAGAGGTTTATGAGGTGCTGAATTCCTTCATGTAAGTAACTCAGCTTTAATGCTCATGTTTCTATCAATTACTGCTACAGATCTCTATTGCAGCTAGTTCTGTTTGACAGCTATCTCTGTCTGAGGTTGTTAGCAATTTTGTGAAGTACTTTGAACATTGCTTGCCCTTTACAAAACAAATTAATTATTAACGTGAGACTATGTGTACCTATATGTATTTTATTTTGCTTGGCTATCCTAATTTTACTATTAGCTATGCATGCCTTGTTTCTCAAATCAAAACCATTTCAATTGACTCTGAACTCTGCCCTATGCCATTCATATTTTTTCTGTGTGCCTGAATTTACTTCTGTAACCTCAATTAATTCAGTAAACTTCACTATTCTACATCAAGAAGTGGATGCAGGTGAACAAGTAACCCAGAAGTTCAGGATACTTCAGTTTTGCAGGCTGTCTGAAAGCCATTCTTATGCTGGCTGTATCAGAATGTACACTTTGTATTAGACTATATCAAATGGAGGAGTTATCTAATTTTTACATTATTTTTATAAAAATATTCCTTATGATGTCTAAGAAATTAGAGGGATATTTGTCTGGAATGGATGAAAGATTCACACAATCTAATTGATGAACTGTTCAGTTTTTGTGGAGAGAGAAAAGCTGCTGATGCTAAATACAGTGGAGCTTTTTTCCTTTTTTCTTTTTTCTTTTGAAGACAGTTTTGATGAACACAGGCCAAGGTTCAGCTTTGGTTCTTCTTCAACACCCTAATTCCAGTTTTATAAAGAAACTTATTGAATATCTATAAACAGTGGCTGAGTAGCTGGTAGCAGAAAAAAAGCTAAGTCATTTTTAGAGATTTTCTTATAGTTTTTTTAAGTGCCTCATTAATGTTAATGGATTTTTATTTAATGAACTGTACTCACATTACAGATGAGGGAACTGTTTTGCAGTCTGAGAACATTCAAGAAATCTCTAAAGCTCTAAAAGACTGAAGTAATATTATTTTCATCAGTGTCAAAAATTCAAAAATCATCAGGTTGTTCTAAAACTCATGAAATTAAAAAAAAAAGTGTGAGGACTTCGGGGACAGTATTGACTGAATATGAAAACTTCAAGGGCATCTGGCCCCTTATTTACAGCATTTTTCAGTAACCACATGCTCATTTTTAACCAAATATATGAATCCTATTAAAAATATTGGCTGCGTAAGTAGACTTGAACAAAAACAATTGTGCAATTATCAAAATGCTTGTGATACAGGTGCCAGAATTAGCAATAATATAGCAGGTATTGACTACTGGTTGCCTCTGTACTCTGCTTGTGATCAATTGCTGGGGTGAGGGCCCCAGTTCTTTCTCAATTTCCTGAACTTGCTTTTGTGGACAAAAACTATATGCAAGCACTGTATCTATAATTGTAGTGAAGAATGAAGAAGATGGAGAGAAGGACTTCTGTGTCTGTGTAGAAAACAGGAATTAAGCTTCAGAAGTCCTTCGAAAGAATAAACCTCTTTTCACAGAATCACAGAATCACAGAATCACAGAATTGTAGGGGTTGGAAGGGACCTCCAGAGATCATTGAGTCCAACCCCCCTGCCAAAGCAGGTTCCCTACACCAGGTCACACAAGTAGGCATCCAGGCAGATTTTTGTTGCTATGTCTAACTCCTCTTGAACTCCACAGACCAGTGGAATCAAACACACACACGGGTTAGATTCCTCTCCCTGTGTCTGTAGTAGTGTTAAGGCTACCTCAGTTATAGACAGTTTGAGGGCTGGGAACTGCAGCTGATGCTATCTATACCTAACACAGTCAAGCAAAGGAAACGAAGCATCAGCCAAACATATGCGGTCTGTGAAAAAATCAAAGATCTTGTTGGAGACTGAAAGGGAGATAGATTGCCACTGATCACTGTGGGATCTGCTATTTTTCTTCCTGAAACAGGATTCCTTACCCCATTGCACACACTCCTTCTCAGAATCTATCCGCAAGCTGGTAGGAAGGGTTTA